AGCCCGTCTGGTGTTCGACCTTCCCAAGTTCTCTCATGTCACGCCGCTCCTCCGCACACTCCACTGGCTTCCAGTTGAAGCTTGCATGTACTACAAAACCATGGTGCTTGCCTACGGAGCTGTGAGGGGAACGGCACCTCCTTACCTTCAGGCTCTGATCAGACCCTACACCCAAACGAGGGCACGACGTTCATCCACCTCAGGCCTGCTAGCCCCCCTACCTCTACGGAAGCACAGTTCCCGCTCAGCCCAGTCAAAGCTATTCGCTATTCGCCCAATGGTGGAACAAGCTCCCCCACGGCGCCAGGACAGCGGAGTCACTGACCACCTTACGGAGACACTTGAAACACTACCTCTTTAACGAATACCTGGAATAGTATAACAGTAATCCTTCTACCCCCCCCCCCCCCCCCCCCTCCCCTACCCCCCCATTAAAAAAAAGGGAAAAAAAAGGGGTGGTTGTCCTAAGTTGAATGCACCAATTTGTAAGTCGCTCTGGATAAGAGGGTCTGCTAAATGACTTAAATGTAAAAAATGTAAGAACAGATATGATGCATCAATATATACAGTATATACAGTGTATTCCTAGTTGGACAGTGCATTCAGAAAGTATTCAGAGCCCCTCCCCTTTTCTACATTTTGTTACGTTACAGGCTTATTCTAAAATGGATTAAAATATTTTTTTTCTTCATCAACCTACACACAATACCCCATAATGACAAAACGAAAACCGTTTTTTAGAAATGTTTGCAAATTTGTTACAAATAAAAAACAGAAATACCTTATTTACATACAGTTGAAGTCGGAAGTTTACATACACTTAGGTTGGAGTCATTAAAACTCATTTTTCAACCACTCCACAAATTTCTTGTTAACAAACGATAGTTTTGGCAAGTCGGTTAGGACATCTACTTTGTGCATGACACAAGTAATTTTTCCAACAATTGTTTACGGACAGATTATTTCACTTATAATTCACTGTATCACAATTCCAGTGGGTCAGAAGTTTACATACACTAAGTTGACTGTGCCTTTAAACAGCTTGGAAATTTCCAGAAAATTATGTCATGGCTTTAGAAGCTTCTGATAGGCTAATTGACATCATTTGAGTCAATTGGAGGTGTACCTGTGGATGTATTTCAAGGCCTACCTTCGAACTCAGTGCCTCTTTGCTTGAGATCATGGGGAAATCAAAAGAAATCAGCCAAGACCTCAGAAAAAAAATTGTAGACCTCCACAAGTCTGGTTCATCCTTGTGAGCAATTTCCAAACGCCTGAAGGTACCACGTTCATCTGTACAAACAATAGTACGCAAGTATAAACACCATGGGTCAAGGCAGCCGTCATACCGCTCAGGAAGGAGACGCGTTCTGTCTCCTAGAGATGAATGTACTTTGGTGCGAAAAGTGCAAATCAATGCTCAGAACAACAGCAAAGGACCTTGTGAAGATGCTGGAGGAAACAGGTACAAAAGTATCTATATCCACAGTAAAACTAGTACTATATCGCAATAACCTGAAAGGCCACAAGCTACTGCTCCAAAACCGCCATAAAAAAGCCAGACTGCAGTTTGCAACTGCACATGGGACAAAGATCCTCTGGTCTGATGAAACAAAAATAGAACTCTTTGGCCATAACGACCATCGTTATGTTTGGAGGAAAAAGGGGAAAGCTTGCAAGCCGAAGAACACCATCCCAACTGTGAAGCACGGGGGTGGCAGCATCATGCTGTGGGGGTGCTTTGCTGCAGGAGGGACTGGTGCACTTCACAAAATAGATGGCATCATGAGGAAGGACAATTATGTGGATGTATTGAAGCAACATCTCAAGACATCAGTCAGGAAGTTAAAGCTTGGTCACAAATGGGTCTTCCAAATGGACAATGACCCCAAGCATACTTCCAAAGTTGTGGCAAAATGGCTTAAGGACAACAAAGTCAAGGTATTGGAGTGGCCATCACAAAGCCCTGACCTCAATCCTATAGAAAATGTGTGGGCAGAACTGAAAAAGTGTGTGCAAGCAAGGAGGCCTAAAAACCTGACTCAGTTACACCAGCTCTGTCAGGAGGAATGGGCCAAAATTCACCCAACTTATTGTGGGAAGCTTGTGGAAGGCTACCCGAAACGTTTGACCCAAGTTAAACAATTTAAAGGCAATGCTAACAAATACTAATTGAGTGTATGTAAACTTCTGACCTCACTGGGAATGTGATGAAAGAAATAAAAGCTGAAATAAATCACTCTCTACTATTATTCTGACATTTCACATTCTTAAAATAAAGTGGTTATCCTAACTGACCTAAGACAGGGAATTTTTACTAGGATTAAATGTCAGGAATTGTGAAAACTGAGTTTAAATGTATTTGGCTAAGGTGTATGTAAACTTCCGACTTCAACCGTATCTTTGCTGTGGACAGAGCTTTGTCAAAGCCACAACATAACAAACCACTGTCCCTGTTGTTCCATTTGGAATCCTATTGCAGGCATACATCTATAAAGTTCTCTAGTTCAATTGTATTATTACAACAAATCTTCAGACAGTTGGCTATCATTATGTTGATATTATTAGCTCACTGTTGTGGTTATTGTAACCTTGACATATTTCAGTTCAAGAGCAGGAACGGGTTGTTTGCGTGCTGTACCATTGAAGTTAAAAGATGGGATCATGGCACATTGCTTATTTACATTTTAGTCATTTAGCAGACGCTATTATCCAGAGCGACTTACAGGAGCAATTAGGGTAAAGTGCCTTGCTCAAGGGCACATCGACCAATTGTTCACCTAGTCAGCTCGGGGATTCGAACCAGCAACCTTTCGGTTACTGACCCAACGCTCTTAAATCGCTAGGCTACCTGCTGCTTATGACCTGGTCAGAGTCCAGCTGAAAGCTGTTTCAGCACTGGCTATCTCCTCCAGCTGTGGTTGGACTGTCCCTTTTACAAATCAGATGTTATGTAGAGAAAATGCGTATTATTATGATCTGATAGACTATTGGCTCATGGTATTCCCAGACAAAAGCACTAGCAACACAAGAGGAGGAACAACATTGACATATGTACAACAAAGACATTCACATAAAGCACAATCCCTGTCCTCCTGTATACTCCTCACACATTATAGAAGTCTACAATTACACACAATACAGATTACTTGAATGGCTCATTTGGCATTGGCCACTGAACTATGGTGTTGACATAGTGATGCTGTACTTTGTAAAGACCGCAGTTCTCCTCACCGTAGTATTTTACTACTGGATATACATACAGCACCATCTAGTGGTGAACATACAGCTTATTGACGATCACAAATATAAAATATTGTGATGAATTAAGGACACTTTTGTATGGTTCCTAAGTAGATATTTTTATTTCCAAAGGATGGTTATTTTTAAAGGCAAGACAAGTTAAACAAAGACGTGCATGGAAACAAAGACATAGCTTAAATGAATTGGTTCAGAAACAGATAAAGGCACTAATCACACTGCCTACGATAAAATAATATGCTTTATTTTTTTATTTTACAACTATGTTCAGACAAAGACATTTACCATGAATTTTAAGTTGCCGACCAACAAAACGATAACATGCCATTGTGACTAACACCACAATTATAACATGGATTGGATACTAAAAGGATTACCTTATAATTAATGGAAGCTAAATGAGACAGAAAATAAATATTGTTGTCTAAGTATCATCATCGCGAACAGCAAAAGTTACCGTTTCTTGCTAACATATCTAAAGTTAGAAAAATAGCATAAATATCTTATAGATTTAACACAACCAATACACACAAAATAAGAACATAAAATTAAGGTCAATTATGTTTTTCTGACTTTGGAAAAGAAACCCGGCAGAGTTGACGACACCATGTCATCTTCTCCGGTGTTACAAAAGCTTTAAAAGTACTTACTTGAAACGCGTGCATTTACTCAAGGCCAAACCGTGTACAAAGTATTAAGAACATGGTCATTGTTAAGTGCTTTCTTCTCTTCTGACGCAACTCACTGAAAAATTCATCATGTAAACTTCTGAGATATAAAATCCTAAATACATACTGAATATGTGTGTAATGATGGATTTTTTCTCCAGAAAACACTGAAAGGCATTCATTCATAGTATATTGAACAGCTAAATTGTGGGCATGAGCAAGTTAGTAACATTGATAGAATACACTTCAAAATCCATGTGATTTGGAATTATACTCCACCATATATGCAAACTTGCAAAGCTCCACAACGCTGACAGTCCATTGTGTAATTGCTGTATATTCTAGACAAAATAAATTCCTTTCACACTGGACATACACTGAATGTACAAAACATTATGAACACCTGCTCTTTCCATGACATAGACTGACCAGGTGAAAGCTATGATCCGTTATTGATGTTACTTGTTAAATCCACTTCAAATCAGTATAGATGAAGGGGAGGAGACAGGTTAAAGAAGGATTTTTAAGCATTGAGACAATTGATATGTGGATTGTGTATGTGTGCCATTCAGAGGGTAAATGGGCAAGACAAAATATTTAAGTGCCTTTGAACGGGGTATGGTAGTAGGTGCCAGGCGCACCAGTTTGAGTGTGTCAACAACTGCAACGCTGCCGGGATTTTCACGCTCAACAGCTGTGTGTATCAAGAATGGTCCACCACCCAAAGGACATCCAGCCAACTTGACACAACTGTGGGAAGCATTGGAGTCAACATGGGCCAGCATCCCTGTGGAACGCTTTCGAACACCTTGTAGAGTCCATGCCCGACGAATTGAGACTGTTTTGAGGGCAAAATAGGGGGGTGCAACTCAACATTAGGAAGATGTTCCTAATGTTTTGTGCACTCAGTGTATATAGAAATATATGGTGTTAAGGGACTTAAAAACAAATGTATCCTCATCAATTTTGATATTGATGATATTGTCAGTTTATTTGTTTCTAACATGGCAGTCTAGTATGGTGACTAGCGGCTTCAGCCAGTGGTGTGTTCTGAAGGGGGTGTGTTCAACCTTAGTGGGAGGAGCTACGGTCGTTTGCCACGTCTTGTAGCCTGCGGAAGAGGGCTGTCTGGTTGTCCGGACACACCCTCTTGGGGGATGGCTCCTCCTCCAGCTGCATGCTGCGCTTCTTGGTGGGCGTCTCTCCGGTGCGGATCATACTGTTGATCTCCGCCAGGCGCTGCACATTAAGAGATAAAGGTCATAGACACAGGTCAGGGAGGGTTCATCATCATTATCATCACAGGTCAGGTAAGGTTCTAAACACGGTTAGGGTTTTTAGATTAAGGACACTAGTACGAGACGTCATCAAAACCTGGTCCTGAAGCTCCACTATAGGGTGTGTAGGCCTTTGTTCTACCCCAGCATTAACACAACTGATTCACCTAATCAATTAGTCACTGTCAGGGTTTGAAAAATACTGTGCTGAACCAGTGTGAACCAGTGTACATTGTGTGCATGAGTAATGTATGATGTGTGTGTACTTGTGACTCACGTTGGCTGGGCTGCTGCAGATGTAGTAGAATATCTTGTCCGGTGCGGTAGCGGTGGGGGGGCTGCCACTAGCCTTATGGGGGGAGATGTAGATGGAGTGGTTGTGGGACAGGAGGACCCTGCGAGGGGAGCTGTTCCTCAGGGAGGGGTACGGGCACAGGGGAGGAGACTCCAGCTGTCAAGGATAAACACGCAGCAGAGTTAGCTTCCAAAACAAAAGAGTGAAAGGTTTGCAGAATAGAGGCAAGTTTGAAAAACAACTTTCTCCTCCTCCTTTTCCATCTCTCCCTTTATTTTATCTCTCATTACTCAGATTTCCTCCCTCCCTCCCTCCCTCTCTCTCTCTCACCCCTGCAGAGGGTGAGCTGGGCGAGTAGCGCAGGGCATAGTGGCGCATCTGTTTGATGTAGACCCGGTTGTAGAAGTTGATGAGGTCTCCTCGCTCCTCCTCCTCCTCCTCCCCCCCTACCACTCCCCCTTCATCATCCTGCTGCTGGTAGGGAGGGAGGGATGAGGACGGGGAGAGGAAGGGGGCCAGGGTGGGGGTGGATGGGGTGCTGCCAGGCTGAGGGGCGGGTAGGGTGTTGGTGGAACGCATGGGTACGGGGCTGCTGTCTCCACTTCCTAAGGGGGGTAGAGAGAAAGGGAGATGGAAAATATTGTGTGTTTGTGTGTGTGTGTGTGTGTGTGTGTGTGTGTGTGTGTGTGTGTGTGTGTGTGTGTGTGTGTGTGTGTTCCTACCCTCATGGCTGGTGTCTGTAGGAGAGCTCTGTCCATTTCCCTCACTGCTTCCTGAGTGACGTCTCTTCCTCCCAGAGATCAACACACTCCTGTAGACCTGGTAAACAAAATCAGACAACCGGTGGTCCAATGACAGCATCGCCATTATTCCTTCCAACTGAACATACTCCAGTGTCCATAAGGGAAAAACAGTGACGCTGCCACAGTACAATAGGCTCAAACTAGGGCCTGGAGTTATTACTGGTCAGGTCAGGAAAATCTCCTGACCATAGCCATAAGGCCCTACTACAGTACTCACACTGCTGCTGGCCTGGGGCTGAGAGCGGTAACACTTCATGATGTTCTGGAAGGACTTGTCCTCTTTGGTCACCTTAACAACGGTAGGAAACACACATACAAGTCTTTAGGAAGAGGACACACACACAGCATGATACACACTGCATGCTACAGTACTTTACGCACACGCACACCCATACCACCGCCACCCCACACAAACATCCCACACACACACTCTAACATACCTTGGTCATGAAGTACACAGCACACATGAGGAGCTGGTCTAGGTGTCGGTCCATCATGAGCTCTGTGCAGTGTACCAGAGAGTACTCAAAACACGTCCAGATCTTCCTCCGCAGCTCACTAGAGATGTCCAGCTTGGCACACAGGTCTCTGAGACGCACACTGGCCAGGTGGTACACCTGTTGGCACAGCACAGCAGCTTTAAGTCTTTAAACTCAAGCAAAAATCTATCATTTACAGTATGATGCACTGCAGTTGTGGGGTTCTTAAAGCTAGGGCAGAAACAGAATACTAGGATGCATCTAAACAATTTCTTCCATATCCAAAAGATGAGTTAGATTTGTAACATGCCTGAACTATCCCTTTAAATTCTGTGCCAGATGAAGATGGTGTTTGTGTTCCTTTACCTTGCGGAAGAACAGCGAGAGGGAACTCTTTTTCTGAGGCCTGTTATTGGACGGGCCCTGTGCTGCCGGCTTCTTGATTGGCTTGCCGGCGGCGTGGCTGCTCTGGGGAGTGGGACTGTTCAGGGTGGTGGTGATCTGTGGTTGGCTGGTCAAAGTGCCAGTCAGGGACTGGGCAGACAGGGGCTGGAGCGTGGACGTGCCTTGTCCCGTCACACTGACCTGGACAGGGATGAAGGTGATGCCTCCGTTCTCATTGGCTATTCCTAAATAGGTCAGAGGGCATGATATTGCTCATTAATAATATGTAATAATTGTATATGATTCATCATAGTGTAGCAACCTGCATACTGCATTGGAGTCAGAAACCCCACTATACAATGCATATAGGAGTCATTGGCAGTTTGGGCATAAGGTGTACAAAACAACATAATGACAAACTGTACAGTAATTCATCTGCAAATGTCACCTTGCACAGGTATGGTGACCGTCTGTCCGTTGTTAGCGGTAACTGTGGCCGTTGCCATGGTGACCACGGTCTGTCCAGCAGGGATGGTGGTGGTGACGATGGCCTGGGAGGTCCTGAGGGTGGTAGTAGTAGTGGTTGAGGGGGAGGGGTCAGAGGGGGTGTCGGAGGACGCATCCACAAACAGCCGTCTCCTGGCCGAGCCTGTGGCGGAGCAGCTGTAGCGGTCCAACAGGGTGGTGGGGGAGGGGGACACACCTGGGGGGGAGAGGAAAGGTTGGTGACATGGTTAACTTGACTGAGTAACCAACTGACTGACAAATTGACTGCCTGACGGCTGATGAGCTAAATGACAAACTGACTGAATAAAAAGCTAACTGACTAACCTTTCCCACCACTGTTGGCGCTCAGGTCAGTGCCATGGTTGTTTGGGGTGAGAGGGGCGCTGCCAGCACTACTGCCTCCATCCCCGTCCTCCAGGTGCTGGGGTGGCATCACCTGAACATTAATGGGAAAAATGATTATTTTGTACTCATTTCAGTCCAGTCCATCTTTTTCAAGACATTGAATTCAGTATTCCTTTGGGTTCACATGATTCAGCATGTGGGTGAGAAGTGAGACTTGGCACCATTTTCCTATCTGTATATGTGATGAGTAGGGGTTGGGTGGGGATTGGGAGGGGTGCTGTGGATGTCCTACCTCCTGGCAGGAGGGTGGTTGGTTCTTGGCCCCCCTGACGCTGTCCCACAGAGGGGATCCCCCCATCCAGGCCAGGCTCTCCAGAACCTGCTCCTCCACCTGGTTCAGATGCTTCACCACCTCCCTGAACAGGCCCTGCTCCACCCGCACCAGCACCTCGATCACCTGAGATGCATTACACAGATACGTATATGATATACATGCACACATATATGCATAAACACATGGAAGCACTCAGACAGGAGAGAGGGGAGAGAGTTACATACAGTCCAGTCACACACTCATAACACACACTTGTGACTAGGACAGTCAACACACAACACGGTACAAATACATAATACAGGTATAAGTACAAGTATGTACCTTGTAGAAGTGGTATGCGGGGAGCTGGAAGATGTGTATGACTCGTGGGAAGTCCCCTGGGGGTCGGTAGGAAAAGATGATAATCTCCAGACAGCAGGCCAGCAGAGAGCGCTGGAACACATCCTGCTCCAGAATACCCTAAGGACACGCACCAGAACACAGGGTTGATTGTTCATATTTTACAAGCAAGACTGGCAGGGACAACAGTGTCAAATGTGTCATAACATGCAATATCTCAACATATGGCTCAATTTAAACATATCTGTGAACTGAAAATACAAGAGCGTAACTTGGACCTTTCCATAAATCATGCTTTGACATCAATGGGAAACTTGTGTGAAATTTCTAGTTAGTTACAGCAAACTGAGCTAAGCTAGCAGGGCAGGTGAGACTCACAGAGAGATCCACATTGCCCAGTCTATTCTTCTCCTGGTCAATGACGGCCTCCAGGGTTTTATAGTAGAGCGTCTCCGCCAGGCGGAAGTACACTGCAACGTATTTCCCCAGTCCTGCGTTCTCTTCCCCGTTGCCCTCATAGTGCTGGCAGAAGAGCTGACACATGTCCTTCAGCCTAGTGGAGATGGCCTCACTGGGGTCTCTGGCACACGCCCTGACACAAGACAACACAGATGCAGATACTGTTACAACACCACTGCTGTTACATCACCACTGCTGTTACATCACCAATACTAATACCCCGAAACAGATCAACACAGATAATTACTGTAACAACACCCTCCAGACTCATACTCACACACCAAAACACAACCATACAAAAGCTACTGTCACTGTTATAAACACCCCTTCATCGGTCATACTCATATCCCTACAACCTGAAATGAAAATGGACAATTGCACACTTCAAAGGTAACAATATAAGAATGTATAGGTATTTAAAAAGGTAAGGCCTATGGAAGATATAAAATATTCAATAACAGGGGCTGGATAACACATTCTGTGTTTGGTTGTGTGTAGCATAGAATCCACTTTAGGCCGTGGCTAGTATAGAGTTATCGCCCACGCCTGCCCGTCCCTCCAGAAACCTCTTTCTCAAAGCTATGGATCCGGATGATGTTCTGCACATGTGTTATTGTACGCACACATTTTGTATTTTTTATTATCAGATTTTTTTTGTATTTTACCCCCTTTTCCTCCCAAGTTTCGGGATGCGAAAGTCGAGTCATGCGTCCTCCGAAACATGACCCGCCAAACCGCGCTTCTTAACACGCACACGCTTAACCCGGAAGCCAGCCGCACCAACGTGTCAGAGGAAACACCATTCAACTGACAACGAGGTCCATCTGCAAGCCCCCGGCCCGCCACAACGCGTCGCTAGATCGCAAGTAAAGCCCCCCCGGCCAAACCCTCCCCTAACCCGGACGACTCTGGGCCAATTGTGCGCCGCCCTATGGGACTCCCGATCACGGCCGGTTGTGATACAGCCCGGGATCGAACTAGGGTCTGTAGTGCGATGCAGTGCCTTAGACCGCTATGCCACTCGGGAGGCCCCACACACATTGGTTTTTATAAAGTAGCTGCTGCTCACACTCCCCCCTCCCTTCTCGTTTCGCTCTTTACTCAGCTTCTTCTGAACCATGATGATGTAGCCTATGTCTCTGCCTCATATTTCTAAGCAGCTGAAACAGCCTGCGGCGATTTTAACGAACATTCCAAAACATGTATGTTATGAAGGCTACAACCTTCTCCGTCTGTCTGTTGTACCGGATATTGGAGTTAAAGAAGCAGGACACAGTCCCCGACACTCTGTAGCAAAAACAATCAGTGTTTTGTGTGATAATGTAGGCTAATCTTTGTAGTTGCTGCCACATCGTAGTTCCTGAAAAAAGAACACTACTTGACTGCCTGTCTGCCTCCGGCGCAGCTTAGCCAGTGTTTGCAATGATGATGAAAAAAGAACATTCAATCGTTGTTTAGACTGCATGTCTGTGTCTTGCTGCGCTCCACCTCTGGGCAGCCGAACATTCTAAGCAGCCGAGCATGTTTCTGGACTGGTAAAGACGGGCGAGTTCATTTCGCATCGCATTGTTATGCCACAGGCCATATATGCTGATATACAGTCCTGGTCAAAAGTTTTGAGAATGACAAATTCTAATTTTCACAAAGTCTGCTGCCTCAGTTTTGATGATGGCAATTTGCATATACTCCAGAATGTCATGAAGAGTGATCAGATGAATTGCAATTAATTGCAAAGTCCCTCTTTGCCATGAAAATGAACTTAATCCCAAAAAAACATTTCCACTGCATTTCAGCCCTGCTCCAAAAGGACCAGCTGACATCATGTCAGTGATTCTCTCGTTAACACAGGTGAGTGTTGACGAGGACAAGGCTGGAGATCACTCTGTCATGCTGATTGAGTTAGAATAACAGACTCAAAGCTTTAAAAGGAGGGTGGTGCTTGAAATCATTGTTCTTCCTCTGTTAACCATGGTTACCTGCAAGGAAACACGTGCTGTCATCATTGCTTTGCACAAAAAGGGCTTCACAGGCAAGCATATTGCTGCTAGTAAGATCGCACCTAAATCAACCATTTATCAGATAATCAAGAACTTCAAGGAGAGAGGTTCAATTGTTGTGAAGAAGGCGTCAGGACGCCCAAGAAAGTCCAGCAAGCGCCAGGACCGTCTCCTAAAGTTGATTCAGCTGCGGGATCGGGGCACCACCAGTGCAGAGCTTGCTCAGGAATGGCAGCAGGCAGGTGTGAGTGCATCTGCACGCACAGTGAGGCGAAGACTTTTGGAGGATGGCCTGCAAAAGGTACAGGGATTGGACTGCTGAGGACTGTCATCAAGGCAAAGGGTGTCTATTTGAAGAATCTTAAATATAAAATACATTTTGATTTGTTTAACACTTTTTTGGTTACTACATGATTCCATATGTGTTATTTCATAGTTTTGATGTCTTCACTATTATTCTACAATGTAGAAAATAGTACAAATAAAGAAAAACCCTTGAATGAGTAGGTGTTCTAATACTTTTGACCGGTAGTGTAGCTGCATGTACCTCAGCAGCTAACAAGAACATGAAATCGCCAGAATGACTGTTTGTGTCGTGCTTATGTTTGTAATACTGACAACAAAGTTTGTACGAACATGTCGATAATGTATTTTGTGTAAAACATGTAAATAGCTGCATGTAGCCTACTCCCCTCCTGAAAAAAGAACATGAAATGGCGCTTTTGCTTACAGAGACAGGGAACGCAATAGTTAGAACAATTTTGTGTACAACATGAAGTTTGTAGGCTACACCAGCGACCAGACAAAGGCGATGAAGGAGGGGGGAGCGGCAGCGGAGCACTCAGCACAGCAGCTATGCTGGCAGCGGAGTGGGCACTCGGCTAAGTAAAAAAGAAAACCTGCACATGCGCAGAAATATCTGTAATTTTTGCAAATTGGGATAGAGAAACTCCGTATCTGTAGCCACTTTGTATATGTATTATATGTATGGCGTGCAATACCTCAGTAAGTCTGTGAGTCTTCCACTGGGGCCGCGTTTGAGTCCAGTGAGCAGGCTGTGTAGTCGACCAACACTCTGCATGGCAGTAGAGACCGGCGTACCCAGACTGTTGTCCTGGACATAATTACGACCCGTCAGGGGAGTGGACACCTTTAGGACTGAGGCCTACAGGACACACACAGGAGACATAACACAGGGATTACTGTACATTTTAATCTATTTTTTTAACCTTTATTTAACTAGGCAAGTCAGTTAAGAACAAATTCTTATTTACAATGACAGCCTACACCAGCCAAACCCGGACGACGCTGGGCCAATTGTGCGCTGCCCTATGGGACTCCCAATCACGGCCGGTTGTGATACAGCCTGGAATCGAACCAGGGGGTCTATAGTGACGCCTCAAGCACTGAGATGCAGTGCCTTAGACCGCTGCGCCACTCGGGAGCCCCATATGATTGGATTCAGACTCAAAGACACAAGTAACGTATGTGTGTGTGTGTGTGTGTGTGTGTGTGTGTGAGTCTTACAGTCAGACTGCTGTAGAGTCTGTATGCTGAGGCGTCCTGGTTCTCCACTCCCTCACACAGACAGGGGCCTGGGGTGCCGATGTCTTCATTGGCCCCCTCTCCCAGGAAGATCCTCTCATCCAGACCTCCAGTGGCCAGAACATGCTCCTCATACACACGGCCCATGGACGCACTACACAAACAAACGTATACACAAATATATCAGTAATGTCACTCAAAAGACTATCAATATAGTCTTATAGGATTGAAACTTACAAACTGTCTCCAAAATTCATAGGATCTAAGAAGCCAGTCAAGCTCTCTTCTTTCCCTTTGAGAATCTGTTGAGGACACAGAATATCCAACATGAGGCAAAACATACAAGTAGTACTGAGGTGTGTGTGTGTGTATGTGTATGTGCCTGTGCGTGTGTTTGCGTGCATGTGTATGTGTGTGCATGTGTGTGTGCACTTTCATGTGTGTGTGTTTGCCTAACCTTCTTATGAAAGAGCCTACTGATGAAGGCTTTCCAGAAGTGTTCCTTCACCCCCTTGGCCTCTAGCACCAGGCCATCATGCAGTTCACACAGCTGCTCTATGAAGCAGTAAGGCCCTGCAGTGGGCTTGTAGTCCTTACTGCTAAAGTCCTCAGGAAGTCCTGTGGATCAGATGAGACAAAGCAGCTTCCTGCATTAGATGTGTGATAAGGTATTTCAGTAACTATGCATATTTCTATACACAAAAGTACCATACAGATTTAACATACGGAGGGTAGTGCATACGGCCCAGTAAATCACTGGGGCCGAGGTCCCTGCCATCCAGGACCTCTACACCAGGCGGTGTCAGAGGAAGGCCCTAGAAATTGTCAAAGACTCCAGCCACCCAAGTCATAGACTGTTCTCTCTGCTACCGCACGGCAAGCGGTACCGATGCACCAAGTCTGAAAACAATAGGACCCTGAACAGCTTCTACCCCCAAGCTATAAGACTGCTAAATAGTTAGTTAAATAGTTAACCAATAGCTACCCGGAAGATCTGCATTGATCCTGTTTTGCACTAATCTCTTTTGACTCATCACATACGCTGTTGTTACTGTTTATTATCTATCTCGTTTCCTAGTCACTTTATCCCTACCTATATGTACATATCTACCTCAATTACCTCGTAGCCCTGCACATGGACTCGGTACTGGTACCCATGTATATAGCCAAGTTGTTACTCATTATTCCTAGTGTCTTTTTTTCTTTTCTACTATTTCTTTTTCTTTTCTCTCTGCATTGTTGGGAAGTAAGCATTCCACCTGCTGTTTACCAAACATGTGACAAATACAATTGATTTGTGATTTGATCATGTGAGTAACCACACACGTATGCTTCCATGCACACACGTACACATGCATGGATACTGGCTGGATACTATCAATGCTGTTATCTATAGGAAGATATGGAGGGAATATAGGCGTAGGGGGTGCAGGGGGAGATATGAGAGATAGGAGGTTAGAGAGGGACTATAGACATCAGGGAAGGGATATAGGCCTACGAAAGGGATATAGGCCTACGAAAGGGATGTAGGCCTACGAAGGGGATGTAGGCCTACGAAGGGGATATAGGCCTACGAAGGGGATGTAGGCCTACGAAGGGGATGTAGGCCTACGAAGGGGATATAGGCCTACGAAGGGGATATAGGCTTACGAAGGGGATATAGGCCTACGAAGGGGATGTAAGCCTACGAAGGGGATGTAAGCCTACGAAGGGGATGTAGGCCTACGAAGGGGATGTAGGCCTACGAAGGGGATGTAGGCCTACGAAGGGGATGTAGGCCTACGAAGGGGATGTAGGCCTACGAAGGGGGTGTAGGCCTACGAAGGGGATATAGGCCTACGAAGGGGATATAGGCCTACGAAGGGGATGTAGGCCTACGAAGGGGATATAGGCCTACGAAGGGGATGTAGGCCTACGAAGGGGATGTAGGCCTACGAAGGGGATATAGGGGTGGGCCGGGAGTGCACCTTTGAAGTTGGGGTTGAGCAGCTCCTTCCTGGTGTTACAGAGCAGGGCATTGGAGAAGACCAGGTCCAGAGCACACAGCAGCAGATGGTACGAGTTCACCAGGTCATCACTGATTAAAGGGAAGTTTCCTGGCAGAGGGAGAGAGAGAGAAGAGACATGTCAGAGAAATGTAGGAGATGGAAATAATCATACATAGGATTTTATAGCGCTTTTCTAAAGACCCAACTACGCTTTGACACAACAGACAATGGAATCCCCCTAACCGATCTGGTCATTCCAATAAAGCTTGTTGAATGGAATTCATCTGAAGGATAGAGGTCTCGTATTGACTGAAGAGTAGTGCTGGTAGCCTCAAACATTGACTTTGCTCACTGCGATTTGCGTATCCAAAATGCCACCGCAAATGTATCTATCTGAAAGTAGCAATCATTGGGTTCCAAGCTAAATAGGCTGCTCTGTGGTATTGCCAACTATTATAAACACTAAATCCAGGCCGTGACACAGGCAAGTCCTGACCTGCCCCAATGCAATAGGTTGCCAAGATAACGGATACACACTGATGGATCTGACTGTGCGTGTGTTATTATTAATGATTAAGAAGATATAAAAAGGACACATCTACAGTACTTGCCTTGGCTGCTTGTCTCCTGCTGATGTCAACACGTCAGTGCAGGCCTTGGCATGCCCAGTGTAGAATACCTAGCCCTTGTCACTGACTTTGTGTGTAACCAAGCAGCGACCACTTCAAATACAATCAAACCAGCCTTTTCTCCTTCAAAGTACCCTACTGAGCCCTTTCCCTTTGTCCTCCCCTCTTTTCCTGTATTTTACAATGAACAAAAACAGAAGTACTCACCTTTAGCGTGGACAAACAGAATCCAGCAGAAGTTGAAGACTTCAGCGATGGTGCAGGGATGGCGTCTAAATCAGAATAAGTTCATACATAAATTCAATCAGAAAGCTTAAGCCTGGTCAAACAGACTGACCACGTTGATCAGATATATTCCGCGATCACGCTGGCACCAGGAAAGAAACCCCTTGGCTTTGTTTAAGAGTGGCCAAACTACAGTATAAAATAGTAAAGCATTAGAAGTTCATAGTTATCTACAGTATCAACAACTAACTCACCTCTGTTTGCGGCTCCTGTGGACTCTGGGCGGCTCATCAGAGGGTGCCTTAAAGATGGCTTTGAAGATGGGGACGTATTTCTTGAAGATGACGGCGGAAACTGTGAAATTTCTCTCCAGCTTCGCCGTGCTCTGGCGGAAGTCCTGAGGAAGACTGGCCATGTCCTGCCATTTCTTTATCTTGTTGAAGAACTCAATGAGGCTGGAATCAGAGAACAGGACAACTGTTTGAGTAATACCATTAGTACTGTATTCTACTGTGCTTTAATTATATATTACAATTAATGGATATGATTAGTTGATGTGTGGTCACTTGTTCAGCATTATTAAACATTAATACATAATTTATTGCACAAAGAACCAGGCTGGAACAAGAATCTAAGATCTGGCCAAGATACCATACAGACATGTACGAAAGTCAATTAAGAATTTTGGTGAGGATTTGGATCCTACAGTAAATTATGTAATGTATGATGTGGGACACATTTCGTGCCAGTTTCCTGGACACAGAATAAGCCTAGTCCTGGATTAAGAGGCACGTTTATTGTGTCATCTCCATTGAACACGCTGTCTAGTCCAGGATTTGGCTTAATCTGTGTTTGGCAAACCGGACCATTTAGATAAGTGTATGGGTGTACGTACCTTTGTTCTGAACAGCGGAGGATTCGGGTCAGGGAGATATAGTTTCCCTCTGCAGTGCCCTTACCCACCGTTGGTACTGCTGTCCTACAGGCCACATAGATGGCACAAGCCAGCCAGTGTAGGTCCCTTCCCTGTGTGTGTGTGTGTGTGCGTGGGAGTGAGAGAGAAGGTGAGAGAGTTTCAATTATTGTTCTGTCACACGGTTCTCTCACACTAGTAACAGTAAGAGCTGATGGGGCCAGGGACTAGAGTTGCCATGTTGGAAATTCTCCCCTCAAGGGGTCTTTTCTTCATATTTCATGTTACCTTATGCTTCTTCCAAACCACAACCAAAATAAACCATTAAGCCGTACACAAGTATATATACATAGTGATTATAATGATTACTATTACCATTCGCTGCTGCTACATTGATTATTGTGATTATAACCATTAGTAATTATCCTGCTACCAGCCACTTTCTACCCCTGTTCTATTATTATGATTATCATTATTACCATTGGTATTTATCCTGCTACTACTAGTCACTTTTATCCCTGTTTACATGTTCATACCTACCTCAATCACTCCAGTACCCCTGCACATTGTATTAATGGTACTGGCACTGACCTGTATATAACTGCATTCTCGTGTTTTTCTTATCTCGTATTACACGTGTTTTTCATCTGATCTATACTATTACCTTTATTCTGCATTGTAGAGAAAGAGTTCGCAAGTAAAGCATTTCACTGTACTGTACACCTGCTGTTTCCTGTGCATGTGACAATAAAACGTTGAAACATGAAATAGGCACACCACTGCATATCCCTACGGACATTTGTAAATTAGGCCAATGTAAAATGCACACTATCATTTGAATTTAGAGGTTGCAGACTATATTATAACAATATATTATTGAACATTTCAACAACATAATAGGCTAAAAACAGAATAATGTTAAAAGTTTGATCATATTCAGTATTATGAGTAAGCAACCTAGTCCTAACCTAGTCCTATTCTAGACCCTGAGATTGGTCCGCCTCCCAACCTGACAAACACCGGCAAACTCCTCCCCTTTCCATAGAAAGATATTACCAATGATGCCGTTTTATGATATATTTATGCAAATTTACAAAAATATTAGAAGCTGCATCTTTAAATAGAAAATGTCACGACTTAACATGTGGGTCATATAAGGTGGAAGGACTCACACTATTCTGCACGTGAACTACAGGTAAACCGGTTGCCAAAATAGGAAAAATTATAACTTACTGTACAATATACAATACAACAGACATATTTAGACCTACCTCTAATGTGTAATTTGTGCTTATGCTTTTGTAGCTCCTCCATGCTTCGTTGCTCGCCTTCTCGTCCATATTCAAAGCTCGACAGAGTTCTTCAAACCCCAGCCTTATTTTCTGCAAAAAGTCTTCCTCCTCGCTCATTTCAAATGTGTTGCAAAAACGTCACGGGGAAAAAGATTCGGGTCCAAATAACAATGCAGTTGCAAAGCAGAGTCGACTCAAGCGCGGTTTGTTACAAAGTACATAGCAACAATGTTACTCTTCGTATATTTTTGAGAACCGATATACAGCGCTGTACAGTATAGCCATTTAAATGTCCTTTGATTGACAGCTACTAAAGTGCGTAGCAGATTATGCCAAATGCTTGCGTACAGTACTTGAGCAATGGAACAACGTCACATTTTGGATGGTATTTTGTTTGGTGAATGCAACGTCAAGCGTACAGTGGGTTTCCGCCCATAAAAAATGCGTTCCCAACCTTGAATGGATGAATCACCAGTCATTCAATAAGAATACAACACTTCCGGCTGCTTATACTCCACATTCGACGATCAACAACGTATGACACTACATACTAAAATACATCTGATAACGTTGATACTTTCCGTTTTAGATGGATGTTTTGCAAACGTTCCCATTCTGGCCATTATAGGGTGTAACTTTGAAGCAACCACTAACCACCCACGTGCCTGCCAGTCAACATTCAAGCGCTGTGCTGGAAACTTGTCAACAACTATGTAACAAGAACTTGCTGCTTAGCCCAATAGGCCGCCAGATGTCGCTATTATTCCTTTTACGGCGCTTGTCATCTGCAATAATAGCGCCATCAGCCGGCCGGTTGGGCTACTTGCGGCTATGCAGATTGTATACTTTCAATGTAAAACGAGAAAATCCTATGTGGTTCTTTTGATGCATCAACACTGCATCCAATAGTTATTAAATGGCATCTTATTTTGTCAGGCAACTCATTGTTGAAAAACATAAATATTTCTCTGCACACAGGACTGTCCCACTAGATTAGATTGCTATGCAATGAGTGGCTTGGGAAGGGACACACATTTTGTCATTGCATTTTTTACCCAATTAGATGCCAATTATTAATTTTGCCAAAATAAAATATACAGTCTCCGGTAAGTGCATGAGCTGCATCAAATCAACACTAGATGGTACTGTAGTGTAGGTCAACATCCCTTTCATAACCACAAAATACATCTTCAGGATTTGGATACAGTTCTCAAATGGTGTACTTAAGCAATAATGCCCGAGGGGGTGTGGTATATGGCCAATATACGACGGCTAATGGCTGATCTTATGCACAACGCGGAGTGCCTGGGCACAGCCCTTAGCCGTGGTATATTGGCCATATATCACAAACCCCCGAGGTGCCTTATTGCTATTATAAAACTGGTTACCAACGTAAGTAGAGCAGTAAAAATAACTGTGGTATAACCCGTGGTATGACAAGGCTGTCAGCATTCAGGGCTCGAACCACCCATTTTCTAACAACGCTTATACCATGGTGTTGTTGAATACTTGTTTCTGATTGGCTTGAAGGCCGTTCTAGTGCTTACATTATTTCCCTATGACGCACGGTATTCATGGGTTGCATGTTATGTCACAATCGTTTTTTGAAAGTTCGTTTTCGACTGATGCCCAACAGAGCATTCTACTCAATATATCGTCAATGAGCGCTGTTGAAGATTTCATCAAAAGTGCATTACAGTGGCTTGGAAATACAATGTCATTCAAAAGGAGGCAAATAATTGAAAGTACAAATATTTTAAAGTACTACTTAAGTAGTTTTGGGGGGTATCTGTACTTTACTTTAGTATTTATATTTTTGACAACTTTTACTTTACTACATTCCAAAAGAAAATAATGTACTTTTTACTCAATACATTTTACCTGACACCCAAAAGTACTCGTTACATTTTCAATACTTAGCAGGACAGGAAAATGGTCCACACACTTATCAAGATAACATCCCTGGTCATCCCTACTGGCTCTGATCTGGCATACTCACTAAACACACATGCTTCATTTGTAAATGATGTCTGAGTGTTGGAGTGTGCCCCTAGCTATCTGTAAATGACAAAAACAAGAAAATGGCACCATCTGGTTTGCTTAATATCAGGAATTTGAAATGATTCATACTTTTACTTTTGATACTTAAGTATATTTTAGCAATTACATTTACTTTTGATACCCAAGTATCTTTACTTTTACTCAAGTATGAAAATGTGATACTTTTTCCACCACTGGGAAAACCTTTCGTCATGATTTTGATACCGCCAGATTGACTTTAGATGCAGTATAACGTTAGCTAGTTAATTATATTGAGGGGAGGACACTGGATTTTAGCTAGCTACGTTAGCACTGCTAGCTATTTCTGACGAATTTTGCAATCTAATGACAACATTGCCATGTCTTAAGTAAATTTGACGACATGATAATGCTGGTAAAGTTGTTTCCTACTAAACAATTGAGTACTTTAGCAATGTCTTCGTATTTCCAGGCACTATAGTGTATTATAAACTGGGTGGTTCGATCCCTGAATACTGATTGGCTGACAGCCGTGGTTTATCAATCAAATGTATTTATAAAGCCCTTTTTACATCAGCTGATGTCACAAAGTGCTATACAGAAACCCAACCCAAAACCCCAAACAGCAAGCAATGCAGATGTAGAAGCACGGTGGCTAGGAAAAATTCCCTAGAAAGACAGAAACCTAGGAATAAACCTAGAGAGGAACCAGGGGTGGCCAGACCCCTTCTGGCTGTGCAGGGTGGAGATTATAACAGTACATGGCCATTAAGGCCAGATTTTTCTCCAAGGTGTTCAAACGTTCATAGATGACCAGCAGGGTCAAATAATAATCACAGTGGTTGTAGAGGTTGCAACAAGTCAGTACATCAGGAGTAAATGTCACTTAGCGTTTCATAGCCTGGCATTTAGAGGTTGAAATAGCAGGTGCGGTAGAGAGTGGCATATCAGACCGTATACCACGGGTATGACAAAACATTTATTTGTATTGCTATAATTACCTCGGGGGTTTGTGGTATATGGCCAATATTCCACAACCCCCTCGTGCCTTATTACTTAAATATAAAGTAAACAGTCGTTAGCCTTCGTCCAGAATGACTGTTTATCACGACTTTAGGACACCACATGACGCGACCGAGTGACGGAGGTGCAACCTATGAATATTTGCACGGTAGAATTCAATGGCCATATTTCATTCTTACATGTTCGATGTTTGAGCTGCCTTTGAAAGCAAAAGTCGAATTTAAAACATTATTGGCATTGTTGAAGTCGATTTTCATAATGGCAAGCTAGGACTGACGGGTTGGTTAGCTAAACTAGCAAGTATGTTTGTTTGTTTACTACGGCAACTACTGACTGTAGCTATCTAGTAAACTTGCTAGCTACTTCAGTGGATGTTGAACACATTTCTACAAGCAAATGAGCACATTTCTAGAGGCAAATGTGTTAAATTATTATAAATTATCAACTCGGGGCTCTATGCGTTCTCTGGAAAATAATGCAAGTTCAGTTGCACCCCGATAGCGCGTATTGGAACACACCTTCCACGTCGTTCATGATTTTCCATAGAACGCATAGGCCCTCATTTAGTATCAGAACGCTCCAAAGAGCGAAACGCTCTGAATTTACGAACGGACAATCTGACAACGCTCTGAATTTACGAACGCCCAGAGCGCACTCTGGCACTCCAGAGTGAATTTACGAACGCATCCCAATTCACTCAACCAAAGGCCATTTGCAGAATGTGAGGATTCGCTAAATGAGTATGATCCCCATGTCGAAGGGCTTTATAAGACAAAATGAGTGGCCACCCAATTGCCTTGGGATACAAATATTCAATATGTCTTAGGGACATTTAGCACATGTTATCGGAGCGAGTGAACCTTGCGATATGAAATCCTCCCAAATACTTGATATATGCCAAAAGGATAATGTTTGCAAATAGAGGTTGTGCTGGCAATCATTAAAACTAAACTAATGAAGGATAGGAACCAATACAAAATGGAGGAAATGTAAAAACTAAACTCTTTAATACTCTTAAAATACAGACACAGGTAAAAAATAACAGATGCACAATGCTTTGGACATTCAATACCTCATTCAACAACCTCATTTCAGATATAACATTTATCTAAAATATGTTCTGGAGGTACACATTTTCACAAACCATACATTACTCCTGGTTTGAAATGTCCTACACAGGATTTCGAAAGTGTTATAATCAGGTAACACCAGAGCCAATGTCACAAGGCCCTATAAAACATACTGTTTTACAAATACAATTTCACGGATCACGCCATTGACATGTTGTCTCATAAAACAATCCCTTTCAACTATAAAAATATATATAAATAATATACAGTACCTAAATACAGTATAATTTGCAAATTACTGATTTGTATACATCTAACAGTATCATAACCTAGAAAAATAAGTCAATAGACCATATTAGCCATTACGTTTCAAGTTTGACTTCTTGTAGCTCCCAGAATAAATAAGCAAATTGATGAATGCATGTGTAAACAGCAGTAAAATGTATTTACAGTGTTACAGTGGTGATTTGGTGAACCACATTTATGAGATAAGTAACCTTGCCTGACACCAGAAGACTTGTGCTAGCTAATGCCTAGGCTTTAGCTCAGTGAGCCAACACAGTCTTGTGGCGTGCAGGAGACAGTGATGTGCAGTCTTTCGCACTAGTGAAATGTGTGGTGTGATTTAACCCTCTGCCTCTGATTCCAGTGAGGATAGAGGAGTGTGGTCATGGTCTGGGTCCTCCATGATAGACTGTAGGGCCTCCAATCCCTCTATAGACACACACAGACTACCCATCACCACACTGCTGTCCTGCACATCGACAACTACACACCCAGACAGACAAAGAGGGGGAGAAGGAGCGGAAAGGGAGAAGAAGTAAAAGAAAAGAAGAAGGAGCGAAAGAGAGAGAGTCGCTCACAGAAAAAGAGAGGGATTACTTCCTGTTGCACAAGTTGACATAAACACCCAGTTTTCTACACTCTATTCACACACAATACTTACTGTTCAGGCTGGTCTCAATCAAGTCCTGCTGTTGCTCCAGGATATGAGGGATCCTGAAGTAGGCCACGCCCACATCCTCACACTCCTTCTCCTGCTCCTCCTCCTCTGGCGGCTCACTCACCACTGTGAACCTGATACTGTCCAATCACAACGCACCAGAGATCACAGCAGGTCAGTGTTCAGGCAACGGTCTGCACATTTCTAAATCTACAGTCTGTCATCTCTAGAACAATTCAGTCTACAACAGTCTTCCATGACGAGCAACGCCATAGAGAAACACATAACTCATCACTATCTGGTCTATTCATTTAGGCTATTTTCTACCTGTCAGTAATGTTGTGTAATGTTACTTTCAGTTTTGCCAGGGAAATCTCAGCTTTGTCTAATTTTTTACACACACGCAAACGTAATGTACAAAACACTCTTAACATACTTTTTCCCCTTACCTTTCCATTTGTGGGTTGCGTCCCTCTAGTACCCCCCTCAGAATCTCCCGTCTGGTCTTGTTATTCTTTATGTCCACATTAATCACTGTCAGGAGAAACAAGGCATGGTTTACTGAATCACATCTGACATTTCAGAGTTGCTCCATCAAGCCTGTCAGTTTCTCTCTAGCTACCTAATCGGAAGTTGAAATTCTACACTGACATGGGATCCACCAAAGGACAATAACAGAGTATATACACTGAGTGTACAAAACATTATGAACACCTTCTCTTTCCATGCCATGACTGACCAGGTGAATTCAGATGAAAGCTATGATCCCTTATTGATGTCACTTGTTAAATCCACTTCAAATCAGTGTAGATGAAGGGGAGGAGACAGCTTAAAGAAGGATTTTCAAGCCTTGAGACAATTGTGTGCCATTCAGAGGGTGAATGGGCAAGACAAAATATTTAAGTGCCTTTGAACGGGGTATGGTAGTAGGTGCCAGGCGCACCGGTTTGAGCCAAGAACTGCAACGCTGCTGGGTTTTTCATGCTCAACAATTTCCCATGTGTATCAAGAATGGTCCAACACCCAAAGGATATCCAGCCAACTTAACACAAATGTGGGAATTATCGGAGTCAAATTGGGCCAGCATCCCAGTGGAACGCTCAGACGAATGGAGGCTGTTCTGAGGGCAAAAAGGGCAGGTCAGTGTACACGAGTCAGTGTATGAGTGTGTGACTTTGTGTATGTGAATGCTCTCCGTTATACCTTACCGTTGCTGTAGTTGTAGTGGCTGGTCTTGCCAGGTGGGGGCTTGGGCAGGGACAGAGGGGTCTCCTCAGAGGGCATGTCCAACAGGGAGTACTCTACAAACAGCCTGACCACGCTGCTGTCTGCTGCCGCCTGAGACTCAGGCCTCAGTGTCAGAGACACGATCTCCACACGCACACGTTCAGAAGGCTGCAGAGACAAACAGAACGCTGTAATGTAATAAGACTTGGTAATATAGCTCCACTGGAATAAACAAGGGTTGATCATCATTTAGGCTTTAACCTGTGGTGGGATTTTGGAAAGTCTAGTGGTTAATATTGCTGTTGTGGATCCCTATTCAGTAGGCTGATATGGGTCTATACGAACACACTGTAGAATCTTAACCTGCCAGCCAGGGTAGTAATGACTGAAGTATTCCACATAGTCATTGTCCCATGAAAATCTTTGGTGAAGAGGGGTGTCAGTAAGTAATTTAATATTTTATAAAATGCATAAAAGAAAACAACAAGCTCTAGTCAAAACATTGAAAGACTTAAATAAATATAGGTATTCTCTGATGATATCCATTTCTTCAGACAACAGCTCCACCTCAGATAGAAACAGATAGTGTTTAGGTGATGCACGGCCGGGACCATGTCGGTCTGTCTGTTTGGCTAACTAGCCTGGGATTTGCCTGAAGGCTCCGCTCTCCTGTGCTCTGATTGGCTTAATGCTGTCCTTGCTGTCCAATCTGTTGCAGGGAGTGCACAGAAATAAATATTTCTTATACCTCCTAATATGTTTGAAGGGTCAGAAATAATTGTACTGAAATATAAACTATGAACTACTACAATATGAGAGTAATCTAAAATATCAAAGGAAATAGTAAATTCACTGTAAAATAACATTCTAAGCAGATGTGAAAGGAACATACAAGCAACTCACTTGCAGAACAATCGCTCCCGCCCCCTTCCAGATGATCAGTGAGAAATATTTTTCTAGCTATCTTTCTAAGCTTTTCTATCCATCAACAACAATAATGCTGCTAATATTAAACTGGATATAATATCTCTACAGTGCAAACCCACACCATGAATGATTCATGAACAGCTGTGTTTTTGTATTGTGCTTTCAATAAACTGGTTAAAGGTGATCAGTACCAAACCTCAGCATGAAGTAGATATACCTACAGCACTAGAGGTTCAACCAAACAATGGTGTTGGCAAGATAAACAATTACAAATCTAATAAAAACAAAAAAGCAAACTAGACTTGTTGAGTAAAACTTGTTTTTCCAAAGCTGATGAACAGCTTTCACCTGGATGCTGCTCTTCTATTCCCGTGATACTGGATCCTTGCTGTGTAGCCTACACTCAATATCAAACGGCCTTGATATAAACACAACAAGCCCAATAACCTTGATACAGTACTTCCTATCCAATTGTACTGTACTCCTATCCTCTATGGACTGAGGTTCATCGGAGTGTACAAGGTAAACAGGCTATGTTCTATCCTGTATCCCTGGTTCACCCACCTTCCGTCCCATGGAGGACTGGCCAGGAACAATGCAGTCATCACTGTCTGAGAGGATCGATTCAGTCTGATCCTCATCCTCTGCCGCTGGGGCCTCCTCTGCATTTGGGGGAGGGAGAGATGGAAAGGGGGGGGGGGGGGGACAAGGATAAAACGGTTCAGTCGTAACCAACAACAGCATTGCGGCTTGATACTAACTATACCACTGCTCAGGATTCATAAGTGTTGCTTTGAGTGTGTACACTGTAGAGGAGGGATGGGCAACTTTGATGGGGGTGGGGGCCACACAAAATCAGAACTCATTATGAGGGTTCGCAGTGGCTCATGGGTCTGTGTACCCACATCCATACCCACACATGCAGTCATGGGGGCCCTAGAATACATTTTGCTGGGAGGCCCCGCCACCTTGCAAGCAAAACATTTTAGCCTCCTCTTGACAGTGGAGAGAAAAAAATTGAAGTTTTAGAGTTAATTTCCTGCAATTCCACACATTTTGCCATAGGCTGGAGATAAATGTTTGCAGTTTTTAATATGATTTTTGAGTAAGAGTGACTTACAAATAAAATGAGGGCCCCCCGGTCGGTACATCGACCATGATTACAGGGGTTTTCTGGATCTAAATGGGACTTAGGTGGTAGACGTGGTTGAGTCTGGCCATGGGCGTGGCCAATGATGCGCTGGCCGATTTAACATTTTAGAGGGCCTCCTGTTGGCCGCAGTGACAAAATGTAGCTATTTTAAAGAACATTTTCTACAATTATACACATTTTGCCATGTGGCAGAGATAACGTTTTTCATATATATATATATATACAGTGGGGAGAACAAGTATTTGATACACTGCCGATTTTGCAGGTTTTCCTACTTACAAAGCATGTTGAGGTCTGTAATTTTTATCATAGGTACACTTCAACTGTGAGAGACGGAATCTAAAACAAAAATCCAGAAAATCACATTGTATGATTTTTAAGTAATTCATTTGCATTTTATTGCATGACATAAGTATTTGATACATCAGAAAAGCAGAACTTAATATTTGATACAGAAACCTTTGGTTGCAATTACAGAGATCATACGTTTCCTGTAGGTCTTGACCAGGTTTGCACACACTGCAGCAGGGATTTTGGCCCACTTCTCCATATAGACCTTCTCCAGATCCTTCAGGTTTCGGGGCTGTCGCTGGGCAATATGGACTTTCAGCTCCCTCCAAATATTTTCTATTGGGTTCAGGTCTGGAGACTGGTTAGGCCACTCCAGGACCTTGAGATGCTTCTTACGGAGCCACTCCTTAGTTGCCCTGGTTGTGTGTTTCGGGTCGTTGTCATGCTGGAAGACCCAGCCACAACCCATCTTCAATGCTCTTACTGAGGGAAGGAGGTTGTTGGCCAAGATCTCGCGATACATGGCCCCATCCATCCTCCCCTCAATACGGTGCAGTCGTCCTGTCCCCTTTGCAGAAAAGCATCCCCTAAGAATGATGTTTCCACCTCCATGCTTCACGGTTGGGATGGTGTTCTTGGGGTTGTACTCATCCTTCTTCTTCCTCCAAACACGGCGAGTGGAGTTTAGACCAAAAAGCTCTATTTTTGTCTCATCAGACCACATGACCTTCTCCCATTCCTCCTCTGGATCATCCAGATGGTCATTGGCAAACTTTAGACGGGCCTGGACATGCGCTGGCTTGAGCAGGGGGACCTTGCATGCGCTGCAGGATTTTAATCCATGACGGCGTAGTGTGTTACTAATGGTTTTCTTTGAGACTGTGGTCCCAGCTCTCTTCAGGTCATTGACCAGGTCCTGCCGTGTAGTTCTGGGCTGAAGGGCCTGCCGTGTAGTTCTGGGCTGATCCCTCACCTTCCTCATGATCATTGATGCCCCACGAGGTGAGATCTTGCATGGAGCCCAAGACCGAGGGTGATTGACCGTCATCTTGAACTTCTTCCATTTTCTAATAATTGCGCCAACAGTTGTTGCCTTCTCACCAAGCTGCTTGCCGATTGTCCTGTAGCCCATCCCAGCCTTGTGCAGGTCTACAATTTTATCCCTGATGTCTTTTACACAGCTCTCTGGTCTTGGCTTTTGTGGAGAGGTTGGAATCTGTTTGATTGAGTGTGTGGACAGGTGTCTTTTATACAGGTAACGAGTTCAAACAGGTGCAGTTAATACAGGTAATGAGTGGAGAACAGGAGGGCTTCTTAAAGAAAAACTAACAGGTCTGTGAGAGACGAAATTCTTACTGGTTGGTAGGTGATCAAATACTTATGTCATGTAATAAAATGCAAATTAATTACTTAAAAATCATACAATGTGATTTTCTGGATTTTTGTTTTAGATTCCGTCTCTCACAGTTGAAGTATACCTATGATAAAAATTACAGACCTCTACATGCTTTGTAAGTAGGGAAACCTGCAAAATTGGCAGTGTATCAAATATTTGTTCTCCACACTGTGTGTGTGTGTATATATATATATATATATATATATATATATATATATATATATATATATATATATATATATATATATATATATATATATACACACACACACATATACACACATACAAAATTGATTAAATTGTTTTTTTTCCCTCATCAATCTACACACATTACCCCATAATGACAAAGCAAAAACAGGTTTGTAGAAATATCACATTCACATAAGTATTCAGACCCTTTACTCAGTACTTTGTTGACACTACAAGCTCGGCACACCTGTATTTGGGGAGTTTCTCCCATTCTTCTCTGCAGATCCTCTCAAGCGCTGTCAGGTTGGATGGGGAGCGTTGCTGCACAGCTATTTTCAGGTCTCAAGACATGTTCAAGTCGGGGCTCTGGCTGTGCCACTCAAGGACATTCAGAGACTTGTCCCGAAGCCACTCCTCCGTTGTCTTGGCTGTGTGCTTAGGGTCATTGTCCTGTTGGAAGGTTATCCTTTGCCCCAGTCTGAGGTCCTGAGGACTCTGGAGCAGGTTTTCATCAAGGATCTCTCTGTACTTTGCTCCGTTAATCTTTCCCTCGATCCTGACTAGTCTCCCAGTCCCTGCCGCTGAAAAACATCCCCACAGCATGATGCTGCCACCACCATGCTTCACCGTAAGGATGGTGCCAGGTTTCCTCCAGACGTGACGCTTGGCATTCAGGCCAAAGAGTTCAATCTTGGTTTCATCAGACCAGAGAATCTTGTTTCTCATGGTCTGAGTCCTTTAGGTGCCTTTTGGCAAACTCCAAGCTGGCTGTCATGTGCCTTTTACTGAGGAGTGGCTTCCGTCTGGCCACTCTACCATAAAGGCCTCATTGGTGGAGTGCTACAGAGATGGTTGTCCTTCTGGAAGGTTCTCCCATCTCCACAGAGGAACTCTGGAGCTCTGTCAGAGTGACCATCGGGTTCTTGGTCACCTCCCTGACCAAGGCCCTTCTCCCACGATTGTTCAGTTTGGCCGGGCGGCCAGCTCTAGGAAGAGTCTTGGTGGTTCCAAACTTCTTCCATTTAAGAATGATGGAGGCCACTGTGTTCTTGTGGACCTTCAATGCTGCAGAATTTTTTGGTACCCTTCCCCAGATCTGTGCCTCGACACAATCCTATCTCGGAGCTCTACGGACAATTCCTTTGACCTTATGGCTTGGTTTTTGCTCTGACATGCACTGTCAACTGTGGGACCTTATATACACATGTGTGTGCCTTTCCAAATCATGTTCAATCAATTGAATTTACCACAGGTGTACTCATTTCACATTTCAAGGATGATCAATGGAAACAGGATGCACCTGAGTTACATTTCGAGACTCATAGCAAAAGGTCTGAATACTTATGTCAATAAGGTATTTCTGTTTTCTATTTTTTATAAATTTGCAAAGAATTCTAAAAACCTGTTTTCACTTTGTCATTATGGGGTATTGTGTGTAGATTGATGAGGAAAACAAATTATTTAATCAAATTTAGAATAAGGCTATAACGTACAAAATGTGGAAAAAGTCAAGGGGTCTGAATACTTTCCGAATGCAATGTATATATATATATATATTTTTTTTTACTGTTTGGACATAGGTGGCCCGAAAAAACACTTAGGCGGCCCGCCCAATACTTTTATATTCAGAAAAAACCCTGGATTACTACAAGTTTAGATAGCTGGCCACTAGATTAATTAACCAATTAAAAAAAAAATGCTGACATGGGCTAATTAACTGACTGTCATTGACTGACATAACAAGAGAAAAACTGCTGATGCACAACCACATTTAGAAATTGCACCTTGTGGATTCTACTATTTTAACTCTCAACAGTAAGTTGAGACCCCGACTGAGTCCTCCCCCACCACAAATATTTTTTATTTTGTGTAAATGTATCTGCGGGCCTACAAAAGGGCGGCCCAGTTGCCCATCCCTGCAGACGGAGTGAGATGTAGCAATGCTGAACTTTAAAGGGGGGTGTCTCTCTCATACTACTCAAGGTCAGAATTAACATTGACAGCCAGCCATACCCAGCCTGAAGACTATTGGCAACAGCATTGAATATTTATGGTTCTCTGGTGAAGAAGCATGCCAGCAAACAACATGGGCTGTTTGCACTTGAAAGATAATACACGGCAACAACAGTAAGTACTTGTTTCCTGAGGATCCATGGGGGATTTGGGGCTGGGGCTGAAGAGCCAGTAAGAATGAAATCAGATATGAAGAGTTTTATTATAGTTTTGGTTTCTTTTGTAAACAAGTAGTAGAAAAGGCCTTGCTGAAATCTAAATAAGAAATTGATGCAAGAAGCAGAAAAATAGGTAGCTGCACTCCAAAACACAACATAGATAGCAGGGGGGAAAAACTAAATTCCTTACATAGTACCTGGCTAGTACCTGGCTGAATTATCAGTGGACAAAGAAAAATAGAAAACTGGTTGTTATTATTGTTTCTCCGTTGTGGTTGTTAGTGAGCTTACCTTCTATCTGTTCGAGAATCTCTTCTGACATTTCTGATTCGTCCGAGGTGGACTGAGATCTGGCTGCGATGACCTGACCCTCAGAGAAGGGAGACTCTTCCTCATCATCTTCTTCCTCTGTGGTGCTCTGAGGCAGAGCTGGTACTGGTGCTACCTGTGACACTGAGACAACCTGTGGAGTACATGACAGTATTATGCATGTAACCCTCACAGAATCTCACAGACAGTAGCTCTAAATGCAGCTTAATCATTACATTGAATTTAGTCTTTTATTAGGATCCCTAATACTCTTCCTGGGCTCCAAACAGGAAACAAACAAAAAAATAATACATACAGTGAGGGAAAAAAGTATTTGATCCCCTGCTGATTTTGTACGTTTGCCCACTGACAAAGACATGATCAGTCTATAATTTTAATGGTAGGTTTTTTTGAACAGTGAGAGACAGAATAACAACAACAAAATCCAGAAAAACGCATGTAAAAAACGTTATAAATTGATTTGCATTTTAATGAGGGAAATAAGTATTTGACATTTCAGGAGGGATTTTGTCCCACTCCTCTTTGCAGATCTTCTCCAAGTCATTAAGGTTTTGAGGCTGACGTTTGGCAACTCGAACCTTCAGCTCCTTCCACAGATTTTCTATGGGATTAAGGTCTGGAGACTGGCTAGGCCACTCCAGGACCTTAATGTGCTTCTTCTTGAGCCACTCCTTTGTTGCCTTGGCCGTGTGTTTTGGGTCATTGTCATGCTGGAATACCCATCCACGACCCATTTTCAATGCCCTGGCTGAGGGAAGGAGGTTCTCACCCAAGATTTGACGGTACATGGCCCCGTCCATCGTCCCTTTGATGCGGTGAAGTTGTCCTGTCCCCTTAGCAGAAAAACACCCCCAAAGCATAATGTTTCCACCTCCATGTTTGACGGTGGGGATGGTGTTCTTGGGGTCATAGGCAGCATTCCTCCTCCTCCAAGCCAAAGAGCTCGATTTTGGTCTCATCTGACCACAACACTTTCACCCAGTCCTCCTCTGAATCATTCAGATGTTCATTGGCAAACTTCTGACAGGCACGTATATGTGCTTTCTTGAGCAGGGGGACCTTGCAGGCGCTGCAGGATTTCAGTCCTTCACGGCGTAGTGTGTTACCAATTGTTTTCTTGGTGACTATGGTCCCAGCTGCCTTGAGATCATTGACAAGATCCTCACGTGTAGTTCTGGGATGATTCCTCACCGTTCTCATGATCATTGCAACTCCACGAGGTGAGATCTTGCATGGAGCCCCAGGCCGAGGGAGATTGACAGTTATTTTGTGTTTTGTAGCCCATTCCAGCCTTGTGTAGGTCTACAATCTTGTCCCTGACATCCTTGGAGAGCTCTTTGGTCTTGGCCATGGTGGAGAGTTTGGAATCTGATTGATTGATTGCTTCTGTGGACAGGTGTCTTTTATACAGGTAACAAGCTGAGATTAGGAGCACTCCCTTTAAGAGTGTGCTCCTAATCTCAGCTCATTACCTGTATAAAAGACACCTGGGAGCCAGAAATCTTTCTGATTGAGAGGGGGTCAAATACTTATTTCCCTCAATGAAATGCAAATCAATTTATAACATTTTTCTGGATTTTTTTGTTGTTATTCTGTCTCTCACTGTTCAAATAAACCTACCATTAAAATTATAGATTGATCATTTCTTTGTCAGTGGGCAAACGTACAAAATCTACATAATACAATGCAAAATACAATATATATAAAAAATATAAAAGTGTCTCTTCACAGTCCCCATCGTAAGGTGTTCTTTTATCATTATTATTATTCAAAAAATTTAAATCCTGTTTTATTGCTAGCTTGAGTTACCTGGGGTGGCAGGGAGAGTTCCATGTAGTCATGGCTCTATTTAATACTGCGTTTCCCAGCCTCTGTTCTGGACCTGGGGACTTTGAAGAGACCTCTGGCTGCATATCTTGTGTGGTACCGATGAGTGTCCGAACTGTGTGCCAACTGTTAGAACAGACAGTTTGGTACCTTTAACCCATCAACACCTCATACAAAGACCAACAGTGATGCAGTCAGTCTCTCCTCAGCTTTGAGCCAGGAGAGATTGACATGCATACCACTGACATTCGCCCTTTGTGTACATCTAAGTGCAATACGTGCTGCTCTATTCTGGACCAACTGCACATTTCCTGTCCTTATTTGCCGCACATGGCCACACAACTGGGCAGTAGTCCAGGTGCGACAAAACTAGTGCCTGTAGGAGCTGCCTGGTTGATTTAGAAACCAGAGCAACGCCTTATCCTGGACAGACCTGTTCCCATTTTAGCAACCATTGAGTCTATATGTTTTGACCATGACAGCTTGCTTTTTAGGGTTACACCCAGAAGTTTAGTCTCCTCAATTATTCAGTAATAGATCTAAATGAGGTTTAGGGTTGAGTGAGTGACTTGTCACAAAAACAATGCTTTTAGTTTTTTTGATATTTAGCACCAGCCTATTGCTAGTTACCCATTCTAAAACTGAATGGAGCGCTATGTTAAGGGTGTCCTCTTTTTTTTTTTTACTGTCGTAGCTGACGTGTATATGGTTGAGTCATCAGCGTACATAGACGCACATGCTTTATTCAAGGTCAGTGGCTATTCTTGGGCAGCGGAATGACCTTTGCCGCCCTCCAGGCCTGAGGGCACACAGTCTTTTAGGCTTAAATTGAAGATGAGACAAACTGGAGTCGCAATGTATTCCACTACCAACTTCAGCAATTTACCATCCAGGTTGTCGGTACCAGGTGGCTTGTCCTTAATTATAGATAGCAACAATTTTTTCACCTCTTCCACACCAACTTTGCAGAACTGAAAACTACAACGCTTGTTGTTTGCATGTCATGCCTAAGTTTGTTAATCTTGTCAACAAAAAAGTTCTTAAAGTGGTTGGCAATATCAAAAGGTTTTGTTATGAACAAGCCATCTGCCTCAAAGAAGGAGGGAGCAGAGTTAGCCTTTTTGCCTGGAATTTCCAGAGCTTTCTTTATATAATTTATCTTTGTTCCATAGTATAGTTTCTTCTTCTTTTTGTTTAGTTACGTGATTTCTCAATTTACTGTATGTTTGCCAATCTGCTGTGTTGTCAGACTTATTTGCTATTCCTAATTTATCCATGTGGATTTGGCAATTATAAGTCAGTTTCTTGATGGGCGCATGCCTATCAGTAAGCGGATAAAGCAATTTTATAAATGCTTCAAGTGCGGCGTCCGGTTGTCTCATTACAGTTCCAGTGTATACAGTGGGGAAAAAAAGTATTTAGTCAGCCACCAATTGTGCAAGTTCTCCCACTTAAAAAGATGAGAGAGGCCTGTAATTTTCATCATAGGTACACGTCAACTATGACAGACAAAATGAGATTTTTTTCTCTCCAGAAAATCACATTGTAGGATTTTTAATGAATTTATTTGCAAATTATGGTGGAAAATAAGTATTTGGTCAATAACAAAAGTTTCTCAATAATTTGTTATATACCCTTTGTTGGCAATGACACAGGTCAAACGTTTTCTGTAAGTCTTCACAAGGTTTTCACACACTGTTGCTGGTATTTTGGCCCATTCCTCCATGCAGATCTCCTCTAGAGCAGTGATGTTTTGGGGCTGTCGCTGGGCAACACAGACTTTCAACTCCCTCCAAAGATTTTCTATGGGGTTGAGATCTGGAGACTGGCTAGGCCACTCCAGGACCTTGAAATGCTTCTTACGAAGCCACTCCTTCGTTGCCCGGGCGGTGTGTTTGGGATCATTGTCATGCTGAAAGACCCAGCCACGTTTCATCTTCAATGCCCTTGCTGATGGAAGGAGGTTTTCACTCAAAATCTCACGATACATGGCCCCATTCATTCTTTCCTTTACACGGATCAGTCATCCTGGTCCCTTTGCAGAAAAACAGCCCCAAAGCATGATGTTTCCACCCCCATGCTTCACAGTAGGTATGGTGTTCTTTGGATGCAACTCAGCATTCTTTGTCCTCCAAACACGACGAGTAAACACGACGAGTTGAGTTTTTACCAAAAAGTTCTATTTTGGTTTCATCTGACCATATGACATTCTCCCAATCCTCTTCTGGATCATCCAAATGCACTCTAGCAAACTTCAGACGGGCCTGGACATGTACTGGCTTAAGCAGGGGGACACGTCTGGCACTGCAGGATTTGAGTCCCTGGCGGCGTAGTGTGTTACTGATGGTAGGCTTTGTTACTTTGGTCCCAGCTCTCTGCAGGTCATTCACTAGGTCCCCCCGTGTGGTTCTGGGATTTTTGCTCACCGTTCTTATGATCATTTTTGACCCCACGGGGTGATATCTTGCGTGGAGCCCCAGATCAAGGGAGATTATCAGTGGTCTTGTATGTCTTCCATTTCCTAATAATTGCTCCCACAGTTGATTTCTTCAAACCAAGCTGCTTACCTATTGCAGATTCAGTCTTCCGAGCCTGGTGCAGGTCTACAATTGTGTTTCTGGTGTCCTTTGACAGCTCTTTGGTCTTGGCCATAGTGGAGTTTGGAGTGTGACTGTTTGAGGTTGTGGACAGGTGTCTTTTATACTGATAACAAGTTCAAACAGGTGCCATTAATACAGGTAACGAGTGGAGGACAGAGGAGCCTCTTAAAGAAGAAGTTACAGGTCTGTGAGAGCCAGAAATCTTGCTTGTTTGCAGGTGACCAAATACTTATTTTCCACCATAATTTGCAAATCAATTCATTAAAAATCCTACAATGTGATTTTCTGGGAAAAAAATTCTCAATTTGTCTGTCATAGTTGACGTGTACCTATGATGAAAATTACAGGCCTCTCTCATCTTTTTAAGTGGGTACTTGCACAATTGGTGGCTGACTAAATACTTTTTTCCCCCACTGTACACAATCAAGCTAAAATCACAACTATAACATGAAGCAAATAAATCCCCCCTTCACCCTACTACAGCTAAGATATGTGTTTAATATCAAATATAACTCAGAGACAACATAAGGTACCTTTGTTAGGGGTGGTAGTTCTGAGCCTTCCCTTTTATCTGTTCCAGGCACATTGGAGGGACGTGAAACATTTTCAGGAGCTGTGACGTCCACGAATGAGACTTTTTTGCTTGCCGTTTTCTCTTTCACCAAGGTCTGTAGTCTAGGTGTAGGTAAAGGTACCTTGGGAGACAAGAATCTGTTACAATTTCATGAAAAATCTAAAGGCAACTGACTATCGTCCTGCAAAGATACTGAAATCCTTTCCCATCAAATGGTATACTTAGAAAGATGGAAACCAGCACACTGGCGAAAAATAGGAAAGATCCAAAACTGAGGCTTAAATGCAAAAATATAAAACATATTTTATTTGATCATCATGATGACAAGAGTGCATAGTGCAAAAGGGTGCATAAAAGAATGGTGAAAAATGAAATGGTATAAAATGTATTTTGTAGTAAATACTACTTCTGTACTGGAATCAGTCACTAGGGCCATCTCAAACAATATCCAGACCAAGCTAACATGACCATCTTAGGACCTGTCCTTACCTCTGACGCAGTGGAACAAGCAGGAAGAGGAGGAAGAGCTTTGGCCCGTTTCTCTTCTTTCACCACCATCCTCTTCTCCTTTTCCTCCATCTCCTCTTCCATTTGTGTCGTTAGATTCAGTGCTCTCTCTTTGGGTACAAACTTGGCCTGTTCTACAGTCATGGTGGAGCCGGGAGGAGGGAGATAGGTGAACTTCCACTTCAGCGTCACGTCAATATGGCCACTTGGGAGGCCGGATGGGTCAGTCAGCTCAAATGTACCTGAAGTGTGGACACACAGAGGGGATGTCAGTGGGCAGAGTGGCCCAACTGATCTCACAAAACAATTAGTTACTTGTGTGACCTCAATAAAATAGGCAACCAGACAAACACTGAAGAAAATTACAATTGGCTCAGAACAGGGCAGCACGGCTGGCCCTTAAATGTACACGGAGAGCTAACATTAATAATATGCATGTACATCTCTCATGGCTCAAAGTGGAGGAGAGATTGACTTCATCACTACTTGTTTTTGTAAGAAGTGTTGACATACTGAATGCACAGAGGTGTCTGTTTAAACTACTAGCACACAGCTCAGACACCCATCCATACCCCACAAGACATGCCACCAAAGGTCTCTTCACAATCCCCAAGTCAAGAACAGACTATGGGAGGCACACAGTACTACATAGAGCCATGGCTACATGGAACTCTGTTCCACATCGGGTAACTGATGCAAGCAGTAAAATCCGATTTTTAAAAACAGATAGAAATACACCTTATGGAACAGCGGGGACTGTGAAGAGACACACACACACACACAGGCACAGACACACATGATAAGACACGCACTCTCCACACACATGGATGTTGTATTGTAAATATGTGATAGTGGAGTAGTGGCCTGAGGGAACACCGTAAATGTATTGGGTAAAGTGTTATGAAATGTAATGTAATATTTTTAATTGTATATAACTGCCTTAATGTTGCTGGACCCCAGTTAGAGTAGCTGCTGCCTAATGGGGATCCTTAATAAATACAAATAAATCCAAACACAAATGTACTGACCAAACCATCATACAACAAACCAAACCAAACCAATCATGATCACTGTCTCTATTGCTCCAACAAACTACCGTAACTAACTCTCAAACTAACCAGTGATGGCCTTGTCGTGGGCCAGAGACAGGAGGGGAACCCTGGCCTTGCCCAGGTACATCTCACTCTGGGTGTCCTGGTCATCGAACACGTAGAGCAGCAGAGCCCCCGCCTTCAGGTAGCTGTCCAGCTCTGCCTCCATGGCCACGGGGAAGGACATGTGGTCCTCAAACTGGGGCTCGCTGCAGTCGGCCACGATACAGGTGTCGTGGTCTGGGAAGTCATAGAACTGGTAGACCACGTAGGGGTTGGGTGGGTTGCCCTGACCCTGGCAGTGGTGGGACGTTAGGTTGCTGCAGCAGCGGATGGTGACGTTGAGCTCGTTCAGGTTCAGGCCTCCGTCGGCTGATACTGACTGGGGGGTTAGGGTTGAGGTGGACGGCTGAGGGATTATGGGAAAACAGAGTGGGGTTAATAAGGATTTATGAGCCAAGTAGGAAATAAGTATTTTAACTAAACTTTTGTGAAAATGGACCACCAACACGGAACCTCCAAAATAGGCTGGTTATTCAATTCGTCTAGTTCTGTGTTGTGTTCTGTTTATAATGACCACAAGCTACCTGCTGTTCATGATTGAGAGCAGATCTGAGGTAGCCCAGGGCTTTCACCCTCTCCTTGTACAGCCGGATAGCCTGCTCCATGGGCACCCGCAGCCTCACCCAGTACTCCACAGAGCCAAACGACTGCACCTCGCCAGCAACACCTGAGGAGCACAGAGAATTTCACTGTCCTGTTTTACACCCGTTGTATCCTGTACACGTGCCGAATAAACATTGAAACTTGAATACAGGGCAGAGTTACTGTAGTCACTTGATTACTACCTGAGAACTTGAGTTTACATACAGTACCAGTCAAATGTTTGGACACACCTACTCATTCAAGGGTTTTTCTTAATTTTTTATATTTTCTACATTGTAGAATAATAGTGAAGACATGAAAACTATGAAATAACATATGGAATCATGTAGTAAACAAAAAAGTGTTAAACAAATCAAAATATATTTAATATTTTAGATTCTTTAAAGTAGCCACCCTTTGCCTTGATGACAGCTTTGCACACTTGTCATTCTCTCAACCAGTTTCATGAGGAATGCTTTTCCAACAGTCTTGAAGGAGTTCCCACATATGCTGAGCACTTGTTGGCTGCTTTTCCTTCACTCTGCGGTCCAACTCATCCCAAACCATCTCAATTGGATTGAGGTCGGATGATTGTGGATGCCAGGTCATCTGATGCAGCACTCAATCACTCTCCTTGGTCAAACAGCCCTTACACAGCCTGGAGGTGTGTTTTGGGTCATTGTCCTGTTGAAAAACAAATGATAGTCCTGCTAAGCACAAACCAGATGGGATGGCGTATCGCTGCAGAATGCTGTGGTAGCCATGCTTGTTAAGTGAGCCTTGAATTCTAAATAAATCACCGACAGTGTCACAAGCAAAACACCCCCACACCTCCTCCTCCATGCTTCACGGTGGGAACCACACATGCAGAGATCATCCGTTCACCTACTCTGCGTCTCACAAAGACACGGCGGTTGGAACCAGAAATCTCAAATTTGGACTCATCAGACCAAAGGACAGATTTCCACCGGTCTAATGTCCATTGCTCGTGTTTCTTGGCCCAAGCAAGTCTCTTCTTCTTATTGGTGTCCTTTAGTAGTGGTTTCTTTGCAGCAATTCGACCATGAAGGCCTGATTCACGCAGGCTCCTCTGAACAGTTGACGTTGAGATGTGTCTGTGACTTGAACTCTGTGAAGCATTTATTTGGGCTGCAATCTGAGGTGCAGTTAACTCTAATGAACTTATCCTCTGCAGCAGAGGTACAGTGGGGGAAAAAAGTATTTAGTCAGCCACCAATTGTGCAAGTTCTCCCACTTAAAAAGATGAGAGAGGCCTGTAATTTTCATCATAGGTACACGTCAACTATGACAGACAAAATGAGAATATTTTTTTCCAGAAAATCACATTGTAGGATTTTTAATGAATTTATTTGCAAATTATGGTGGAAAATAAGTATTTGGTCAATAACAAAAGTTTCTCAATACTTTGTTATATACCCTTTGTTGGCAATGACACAGGTCAAACGTTTTCTGTAAGTCTTCACAAGGTGTTGCTGGTATTTTGGCCCATTCCTCCATGCAGATCTCCTCTAGAGCAATGATGTTTTGGGGCTGTCGCTGGGCAACACAGACTTTCAACTCCCTCCAAAGATTTTCTATGGGGTTGAGATCTGGAGACTGGCTAGGCCACTCCAGGACCTTGAAATGCTTCTTACGAAGCCACTCCTTCGTTGCCCGGGCGGTGTGTTTGGGATCATTGTCATGCTGAAAGACCCAGCCACATTTCATCTTCAATGCCCTTGCTGATGGAAGGAGGTTTTCACTCAAAATCTCACGATACATGGCCCCATTCATTCTTTCCTTTACACGGATCAGTCGTCCTGGTCCCTTTGCAGAAAAACAGCCCCAAAGCATGATGTTTCCACCCCCATGCTTCACAGTAGGTATGGTGTTCTTTGGATGCAACTCAGCATTCTTTGTCCTCCAAACACGACGAGTTGAGTTTTTACCAAAAAGTTCTACTTTGGTTTCATCTGACCATATGACATTCTCCCAATCCTCTTCTGGATCATCCAAATGCACTCTAGCAAACTTCAGACGGGCCTGGACATGTACTGGCTTAAGCAGGGGAACACGTCTTGCACTGCAGGATTTGAGTCCCTGGCGGCGTAGTGTGTTACTGATGGTAGGCTTTGTTACTTTGGTCCCAGCTCTCTGCAGGTCATTCACTAGGTCCCCCCGTGTGGTTCTGGGATTTTTGCTCACCGTTCTTGTGATAATTTTGACCCCACGGGGTGAGATCTTGCGAGATCGAGGGAGATTATCAGTGGTCTTGTATGTCTTCCATTTCCTAATAATTGCTCCCACAGTTGATTTCTTCAAACCAAGCTGCTTACCTATTGTAGATTCAGTCTTCCCAGCCTGGTGCAGGTCTACAATTTTGTTTCTGGTGTCCTTTGACAGCTCTTTGGTCTTGGCCATAGTGGAGTTTGGAGTGTGACTGTTTGAGGTTGTGGACAGGTGTCTTTTATACTGATAACAAGTTCAAACAGGTGCCATTAATACAGGTAACGAGTGGAGGACAGAGGAGCCTCTTAAAGAACAAGTTACAGGTCTGTGAGAGCCAGAAATCTTGCTTGTTTGTAGGTGACCAAATACTTATTTTCCACCATAATTTGGAAATAAATTCATTAAAAATCCTACAATGTGATTTTCTGGATTATTTTTTCTCAATTTGTCTGTCATAGTTGACGTGTACCTATGATGAAAATTACAGGCCTCTCTCATCTTTTGAAGTGGGAGAACTTGCACAATTGGTGGCTGACTAAATACTTTTTTCCCCCACTGTAACTCTGGGTCTTCCTTTCCTGTGGCAGTCCTCATGAGAGCTAGTTTCATCATAGCGCGTGATGGTTTTGCGACTGCAAAAATGTATTGAAATTTTCCAGATTGACTGACCTTCATGTCTTAAAGTAATGATGGACTGTCGTAAATCTTTGCTTATTTGAGCTGTTCTTGCCGTAATATGGACTTGGTCTTTTACCAAATAGGGCTATCTTCTGTATACCACCCCATACCTTGTCACAACACAACTGATTGGCTCAAACGCATTAAGAAGGAAAGAAATTCCACAAATTAACAAGGCACACCTGTTAATTGAAATGCATTCCAGGTGACTACCTCATGAAGCTGGTTGAGATAATGCCAAGAGTGTGCAAAGCTGTCATCAAGGCAAAGGGTGGCTATTTGAAGAATCTCAAATATAAAATACATTTTGATTTGTTTAACACTTTTTTGGTTACTACATGATTCCATATGTGTTATTTCATAGTTTTGATGTCTTCACTATTCTTCTACAATGTAGAAAATAGTAAAAATAAAGAAAAACCCTGGAATGAGTAGGTGTGTCCAAACTTTTGACTGGTACTGTAGCTCTGACTAGAGGTACACGTAACTGAGAAAAACATTACATTGACCCCCCCCCCCCCACCCTTTGTTTTTACACTGCTGCTACTCGCTGTTTATTATTAATGCATAGTCACTTTACCCTACCCACATGTACAAATTATCTCGACTAACCTGTACCCCCGCACATTGACTCAGTACCGGTACCCCTTGTATATAGCCTTTTTATTGTTATTTTATTGTGTTACTTTTTATTTTATTTAGTAAATATTTTCTTAACTCTATTTCTCGAACTGCATTGTTGGTTAAGGGCTTGTAAGTAAGCATTTCACTGTATTCTTTTATTTTATTTGAAGTCCATCTACCGCAACTGCTAAACCAGAGGAATGAGACTATAAACCTGGAAACATGCAACTCTACCTCCTAGCTGATAAACCTGAGATGCTCGGTTAATCCTCAAAATAACCCAAAATGACACCCCTGAGATCAAGTTGGTCCATAATAAAACCTCTCCACTCACCAACCAGCTGTACGGTCCCATGGGCTTTGCCGTTATTCTCCAGTAGTTGCGTTAGCCTGAGCTGCCCTGCGGCCACCGTCGTGAAGTCCATACCCCGGGCCAGCTGCAGCTCCAGCGTGACCGAACCCGTGTGGAGGTATTGCAGGAAGAGGTCGTCCACCCTCACCACATACTGGGACGTGAAGTCGTATGCCGGCCAGGCGCCCCTGACCACAGGCGTGGCCTGCAGCTCAAAGTCGTAGAAGGCATAGGTGCAGAAGGTGGAGGGCTCGCGGTCGCTCAGCATCTCCAGGGCTACTGGGGAAAGGGTCGCGGTGCCGATGTGGATTTCCAGGAGGTTCTCTCCTCGCTCCAGGTGAATGGTCTCGTCAAACTCGTTGGCCACGTCGTCGTCGGTGATGTTGGGTTTGAAAACGTGGCCTTTGGTGCCGTAGGCAATGTCTTTCAGTTTGGCTGCAGAGTGAATGGAGAGAGTACAGTAAAACAAGAAAACCTGTTTCAGTTACAGAGAGAAAGACAAAACCGGACACGACCAAACTACACAAAACAACAAAATCAACACAACACAGTACACAACAATCATGTAGGAATAAATCCACACCCTCTAGTTTCTTGATCTTGGCAGCCCTCATGTCCAGCAGCTGGGCAAGACGTTCCAACTTCAGCTCGTACTCCAGTTTGGAGTCATCCATCTTACGTGTCACCGCTTCAACTTCCGCCTGAGACACAAGAAAACATTGACATTTTCTACAAAGTATGTCACCTGATCAAGTGAAAAAACTACAAAAATTATATTTCTGAAGTATGTGTAATGTATGACACCATTAAATTATCCTTGTTGCAAATGTTATGGAATATCTAACTACTTCCCTAAGTGTAGTCCAAGTGATTCATGCTGTGCATAACCATGGACCTGGTAGTCCTTGTTGATCTTGTGCTGGACGATGAGCATGTTCCTGGTCTTCTCCAGCTCCTGGATGGTCTCAGTGTGCGTGGCCTGTAGCTCCCTCATGGAGCGCTCAGTGGCACCACGCACCTCCTCCTCCACCTGCTCCAGGAAGCCCAGCTCACCACTCCTCTGGGACTTACGCACCTGACGGAGGGGAGAAGGGGTTCACTTCAGTGCCAACTGTAATGCACAGTGCCCCTTTGTGGATGGGAGTGGTAGCATAACGTGATGCAGCATATGGTCAAAGTGGACCCCATAGTATGATTTGAGGTAGAGATGAGAGACAGGTTAAATGACCAAATACCTTGACTAGCATCATTGCCTCACTGAGTTCAGCCACATCGATCTCACTCTCCTGGAAGAGAAAAAAACCTTAAAAGACATCTATAAACATGTTGGTTAAAGACATGCTCCGGAACATTTGCGACTACTAAGTATTTTTGAAACCTCCCGCTTTGGGCTAGATGTATCAATGTGTAGTTCATACATGCATAATCTATAAGCAGAATTACTGTCTTACCTAAATTGGCCACAAAATCCCTAGTTTGAAAGCAACCGTTTTTCTGGAAGCTGTGCAGCGCCATTTTCCCTACATTTTCCCCAACGTGGGCCAGCCCCCTAGCAATTTCAGTTCAACCAATGAGCTTCAGACCCTCACCATATGAGTGACAGCTAGCAAGATGCACCCACAGCAGAGCGAGAGAGCAATGACGTGGTGCAGATACAGTGGGGAGAACAAGTATTTGATACACTGCCGATTTTGCAGGTTTTCCTACTTACAAAGCATGTAGAGGTCTGTAATTTTGATCATAGGTACACTTCAACTGTGAGAGACGGAATCTAAAACAAACAATCTAAAATCCAGAAAATCACATTGTATGATTTTTAAGTAATTCATTTGCATTTTATTGCATGACATAAGTATTTGATCACCTACCAACCAGTAAGAATTCGTCTCTCACAGACCTGTTAGTTTTTGTTTAAGAAGCCCTCCTGTTCTCCACTCATTACCTGTATTAACTGCACCTGTTTGAACTCGTTACCTGTATAAAAGACACTTGTCCACACACTCAATCAAACAGACTCCAACCTCTACACAATGGCCAAGACCAGAGAGCTGTGTAAGGACATCAGGGATAAAATTGTAGACCTGTACAAGGCTGGGATGGGCTACAGGACAATAGGCAAGCAGCTTGGTGGGAAGGCAACAACTGTTGGCACAATTATTAGAAAATGGAAGAAGTTCAAGATGACGGTCAATCACCCTCGGTCTGGGGCTCCATGCAAGATCTCACCTCGTGGGGCATCAATGATCATGAGGAACGTGAGGGATCAGCCCAGAACTACACGGCAGGACCTGGTCAATGACCTGAAGAGAGCTGGGACCACAGTCTCAAAGAAAACCATTAGTAACACACTACGCCGTCATGGATTAAAATCCTGCAGCGCACGCAAGGTCCCCCTGCTCAAGCCAGCGCATGTCCAGGCCCGTCTGAAGTTTGCCAATGACCATCTGGATGATCCAGAGGAGGAATGGGAGAAGGTCATGTTGTCTGGTGAGACAAAAATAGAGCTTTTTGGTCTAAACTCCACTCGCCGTGTTTGGAGGAAGAAGAAGGATGAGTACAACCCCAAGAACACCATCCCAACCGTGAAGCATGGAGGTGGAAACATCATTCTTTGGGGATGCTTTTCTGCAAAGGGGACAGGACGACTGCACTGTATTGAGGGGAGGATGGATAGGGCCATGTATCGCAAGATCTTGGCCAACAACCTCCTTCCCTCAGTAAGAGCATTGAAGATGGGTCGTGGCTGGGTCTTCCAGCATGACAACGACCCGAAACACACAGCCAGGGCAACTAAGGAGTAAGAAGCATCTCAAGGTCCTGGAGTGGCCTAGCCAGTCTCCAGACCTGAACCCAATAGAAAATCTTTGGAGGGAGCTGAAAGTCTGTATTGCCCAGCGACAGCCACGAAACCTGAAGGATCTGGAGAAGGTCTGTATGGAGGAGTGGGCCAAAATCCCTGCTGCCGTGTGTGCAAACCTGGTCAAGACCTACAGGAAACATATGATCTCTGTAATTGCAAACAAAGGTTTCTGTACCAAATATTAAGTTCTGCTTTTCTGATGTATCAAATACTTATGTCATGCAATAAAATGCAAATGAATTACTTAAAAATCATACAATGTGATTTTCTGGATTTTTGTTTTAGATTCCGTCTCTCACAGTTGAAGTGTACCTATGATAAAAATGACAGACCTCTACATGCTTTGTAAGTAGGAAAACCTGCAAAATCGGCAGTGTATGAAATACTTGTTCTCCCCACTGTATGTGCACACAAAAAACTAATTCATTCTTATTTGGAGTAAGAACCGGTTCCTGTACCTTGGTGTAGAACTTCATTCGATCCTTTATTTCATCCAACTGCTGCTTTTGCTCCAGGAACCGAAGCTGAATCTCTTTATTTTCTTGAATACATTTTTCATTCATATCTATAAATAATAATAAATGAAATCAAAATAAAAAATGTTTGTAAATGTGAATACACACTAAAATATTTTAAAGAGACAAAGGTCCTGGTCGACAGATACCTCTTTCAACCTTGATCTTGTCCAGAATCTCGTTTTTGTCTGTCAGGTCAGACTTCAGTGCCACCTCTAGCTGGGCTATCTGTAGTTTCAGCTGCTGCTCTCGCGTCCTATATTTCTGTTCCTGGGTTACGTCAAAAGCACTGGGAACACAAAACCAAATATAATCCACAAAATGGTCATACAGAAAAACATTTCAATATAGGATTTCAACATGCAAAGAAAAATACAAACGTGGAGTCAAATCCCTCACCTGTTAATTAGTTTATCACAGTTCTCCTTTAGCAGCTCTCTCTCCTTCTCCAGGTCATGGATTCGCTCCTGCAACTGTGTTTCATTAAAAAGAGGATAGTTCATTAGCCAAGAGGTTAGCCAAGAGTTTCACTACGATGTTATGAGATTGTATCAGCCTCATCAAATTGCTCTGGATAAGAGAGCCTACTAAAGGACTACACCAAATGGCTGTTTTCCCAGACACAGATTAAACAGAGTCCAGGACTATAAAGCATGCTCAATGGAGAATCTCCATTGAAAGGGCTTTTTTAGTGGAGGACTTGGCTTAATCTGTGTCTGGGAAACCAGCCCCAAATGTATTGCAAGGTTACCTCCTCTGTCCTTCTCTGTGAGAATGAGTTGGCCTGTAGATGGCTCTCCAGGTCCAGACTCCTCAGTCGCTCGTCTTTCAGATGGCCCGTTAGCTCGTCCATCTTGGCCATCACAGCTTCATGACTGGCCTTCATGGTCCTCTGACTCTGCAATCACAACATAGGGGTCATTACCATGGTGACTGGGTTTAAATAGTATGTGTTCTTTCGAAATAACAAGTTATTTGAAGTTTCCATGACGACTATTGAATAGAATGTGCTGGCGAGACCAAAATGTTTTCCCAAAGTTTGCCCACCCCTGTGCTAGAGCATTGCTAATCAACTAGTGTCTCCTGGAACATGCTGTTGTGTTTCACCTCTTGGAGTTGGAGGAATCTGCCCTCGAGCACAGTGAACGCGTTGCCCTTCTCAACCAGCTGCTTCTGCAGCCGGATCATCTCCACGTTGTCCTTGATAGTAGACCTGGAGACACCACAACACAATACATAGGTATGCTTTTGATCACTTTTCCCCATATAGTGTGTGTGTATTTTCTACGTTTCTTTTTTTAATTATCTTTGGGGGTAGATCAGCTTTAATATTGCAGATAGACTGTAGCTTCCATCAATGTAATTGTCTGCATCATTTCCAATCCCCCATATATATATTTTTGTGACAACATTTTCAAAAGGTTTGAAATAACATGCTCAATGGAGTTGTTGGAGTATATTGTTAGGATACAGAGTAGCTACAGTTGAAGTCGGAAGTTTACATCGTAGCCAAATAAATTTAAACTCAGTTTTACACAATTCCTGACATTTAATCCTAGTATAAATTCCCTGTCTTAGGTCAGTTAGGATCACCACTTTATTTTAAGAATGTGAAATGTCAGAATAATAGTAGAGAGAATGATTTATTTCAGCTTTTATTTCTTTCATCACATTCCCAGTGGGTCAGAAGTTTACATACACTCAATTAGTATTTGGTAGCATTGCCTTTAAATTGTTTAACTTGGGTCAAACGTTTCGGGTAGCCTTCCACAAGCTTCTCACAATAAGTTGGGTGACTTTTGGCCCATTCCTCCTGACAGAGCTGGTGTAACTGAGTCAGGTTTGTACGCCTCCTTGTTCACACACGCTTTTTCAGTTCTGCCCACACATTTTCTATAGGAATGAGGTCAGGGCTTTGTGATGGCCACTCCAATACCTTGACTTTGTTGTCCTTAAGCCATTTTGCCACAACTTTGAAAGTATGCTTGGGGTCATTGTCCATTTGGAAGACCCATTTGCACCAAGCTTTAACTTCCTGACTGATGTCTTGAGATGTTGCTTCAATATATCCACATACTTTTCCTTCCTCATGATGCCATCTACTTTGTGAAGTGCACCAGTCCCTCCTGCAGCAAATCACCCCCACAGCATGATGCTGCCACCCCGTGCTTCACGGTTGGGATGATGTTCTTCGGCTTGCAAGCCTTCCCCTTTTTCCTCCAAACATAACGATGGTCATTATGGCCAAACAGTTCTATTTTTGTATCATCAGACCAGAGGACATTTCTCCAAAAAGTACGATCTTTGTCCCCATGTGCAGTTGCAAACCGTAGTCTGGCTTTTTTATGGCGGTTTTGGAGCAATGGCTTCTTCCTTGCTGAGCGGCCTTTCAGGTTATGTCGATATAGGACTCGTTTTACTGTGGATATAGATACTTTTGTACCTGTTACATCCAGCATCTTCACAAGGTCCTTTGCTGTTGTTCTGGGATTGATTTGCACTTTTCACACCAAAGTACGTTCATCTCTAGGAGACAGAACGTGTCTCCTTCCTGAGCGGTATGACGGCTGTGTGGTTCCATGGTGTTTATACTTGCGTACTATTGTTTGTACAGATGAACGTGGTACCTTCAGGCGTTTGGAAATTCCTCCCAAGGATGAACCAGACTTGTGGAGGTCTACAATGTTTTTTCTGAGGTTTTGGCTGATTTCTTTAGATTTTCCCATGATGTCAAGCAAAGAGGCACTGAGGTTGAAGGTAGGCCTTGAAATACATCCACAGGTACACCTCCAATTGACTCAAATTATGTCAATTAGCCTATCAGAAGCTTCTAAAGCCATTACATCATTTTCTGGAATTTTCCAAGCTGTTTAAAGGCACAGTCAACTTAGTGTATGTAAACTTCTGACCCACTGGAATTGTGATACAGTGAATTATATGTGAAATACTCTGTCTGTAAACAATTGTTGGAAAAATTACTTGTGTCATGCACAAAGTAGATGTCCTAACCGACTTGCCAAAACTATAGTTTGTTAACAAGACATTTGTGGAGTGGTTGAAAAACAAGTTTTAATGACTCCAACCTAAGTGTATGTAAACTTCAGACTTCAACTGTATATGTTACCTCTGTCCAGTGGTCTGCTGCTCTCTCAGGTGGAGGAGTGATTCCTCAAACTCCCTCTCCTTCCTCCTCAGCTGGTCTCTCAGCAGCTCTGCTGCTCTGTCCATCTCCTCTATGTGAGACCGTTGAGTCTCGATCACATTCTCACTAACAGACACAGAGAGAGAGGGAGTGGCAGAGAGAGGAGAGAAAGAAAGAGAGAAGAAAGAGAGAGAGAGAGAGAAAGGCATTACCATAATGGATGGAACGTTGCTAACATGGAGCAAAAACACTACAGAGGCACTGAATCCTTCATAGTTTAGCTGATGAGAACCGTACATACAGGTTACGGATCTCAGCTCTGGCGTCGTCCAGCAGACTGTGTCCGTATCTGGGCAGTAGACCCTGGGGTGGCCTGCCACTCACCTCCACCTCCACACTCATGGGTCCTGGGGGGGACACACAGACACATCAAGGCTTACAGTTTAATCAGGTGTGTTAGTGCAGGGCAAGAACAAAAATGTGCATTAACGGATGGGGGGGGGGGGGGGGGGGATACTGCTAAAATTACCACATGGCAACACAGGCATGCCCAGAGTTTGAGGCTTTGTGGGCCAGAGTATAAAGCATAGACATCATATATACATCATACATGACAGACTCTCAACATGTGTGTGTTTCTGGGGGTTGGGAAAAAGGCAGAATATGAATTTCTGTTCTAACCAAATGGACAATAAAGTATCTATATTCTGTTTCTATTCACCTCTGGGGGCAGTAGGGGTTAGCTGAGTTAGTGTGACCGTGTCCTCCCTTAGCCTCCGCAGACCCGTGTTGACGCGTGACTGGACATGGCCGTAGGGGGTGGGTCGTTTGCTCTGCGTCTGCAGTTGCTGTTTGGCGGCCAGCAGACGCTGCTTCAGGCCCTCATTCTGCATCTGCAACTCCTGGACCTTGAATTCGATTTTATTTGGGGTTGCAAATAAACAAAACATACAAATCAACAAGATGCGCATTTGAAATCCCAGAAGATAGCACATGGAAACACTGTCTGTGTCCCAAATGGCACACTATTCCTGCACTACTTTTGACCAGAACCCTAGTAAAAACTAGTGCACTATATAGGGAATAATAAGGGTGCCATTTGGGACGCATTCACTTATTTTCAAAGTGGTCCACCTTCTCCTGCAGCTCCTCCATCATCTCCTCTAACTCCACGTCCCTGCCTCCTGGACGCACCCCGCCTGCAGCCACCTGCTCCACCCGCCGACGGTCCTTCACCAAGCGCACCAGCTTCGTGGCCATCCTGTGAAAAGCCAAGGTGAGATGGAATAAGTTAGAGCTTCCATATAATGGGAGCAGAGGAATAGGGTTAGAAATCCACATACAGTGGGGAAAAAAAGTATTTAGTCAGCCACCAATTGTGCAAGTTCTCCCACTTAAAAAGATGAGAGAGGCCTGTAATTTTCATCATAGGTACACGTCAACTATGACAGACAAAATGAGAAAAAAAATCCAGAAAATCACATTGTAAGAGTTTTTATGAATTTATTTGCAAATTATGGTGGAAAATAAGTATTTGGTCAATAACAAAAGTTTCTCAATACTTTGTTATATACCCTTTGTTGGCAATGACACAGGTCAAATGTTTTCTGTAAGTCTTCACAAGGTTTGCACACACTGTTGCTGGTATTTTGGCCCATTCCTCAATGCAGATCTCCTCTAGAGCAGTGATGTTTTGGGGCTGTCGCTGGGCAACACAGACTTTCAACTCCCTCCAAAGATTTTCTATGGGGTTGAGATCTGGAGACTGGCTAGGCCACTCCAGGACCTTGAAATGCTTCTTACGAAGCCACTCCTTCGTTGCCCGGGCGGTGTGTTTGGGATCATTGTCATGCTGAAAGACCCAGCCACGTTTCATCTTCAATGCTCTTGCTGATGGAAGGAGGTTTTCACTCAAAATCTCACGATACATGGCCCCATTCATTCTTTCCTTTACACGGATCAGTCGTCCTGGTCCCTTTGCAGAAAAACAGCCCCAAAGCATGATGTTTCCACCCCCATGCTTCACAGTAGGTATGGTGTTCTTTGGATGCAACTCAGCATTCTTTGTCCTCCAAACACGACGAGTTGAGTTTTTACCAAAAAGTTTTATTTTGGTTTCATCTGACCATATGACATTCTCCCAATCCTCTTCTGGATCATCCAAATGCACTCTAGCAAACTTCAGACGGGCCTGGACATGTACTGGATTAAGCAGGGGGGACACATCTGGCACTCGATTTGAGTCCCTGGCGGCGTAGTGTGTTACTGATGGTAGGCTTTGTTACTTTGGTCCCAGCTCTCTGCAGGTCATTCACTAGGTCCCCCCGTGTGGTTCTGGGATTTTTGCTCACCGTTCTTGTGATCATTTTGACCCCACAGGGTGAGATCTTGCGTGGAGCCCCAGATCGAGGGAGATTATCAGTGGTCTTGTATGTCTTCCATTTCCTAATAATTGCTCCCAGAGTTGATTTCTTCAAACCAAGCTGCTTACCTATTGCAGATTCAGTCTTCCCAGCCTGGTGCAGGTCTACAATTTTGTTTCTGGTGTCCTTTGACAGCTCTTTGGTCTTGGCCATAGTGGAGTTTGGAGTGTGACTGTTTGAGGTTGTGGACAGGTGTCTTTTATACTGATAACAAGTTCAAACAGGTGCCAGTAATACACGTAACGAGTGGAGGACAGAGGAGCCTCTTAAAGAAGAAGTTACAGGTCTGTGAGAGCCAGAAATCTTGCTTGTTTGTAGGTGACCAAATACTTATTTTCCACCATAATTTGCAAATAAATTCATTAAAAATCCTACAATGTGATTTTCTGGAAAAAAAAATCTCAATTTGTCTGTCATAGTTGACGTGTACCTATGATGAAAATTACAGGCCTCTCTCATCTTTTTAAGTGGGAGAACTTGCACAATTGGTGGCTGACTAAATACTTTTTTTCCCCACTGTATGAAGTATTCTCAGACGCTAAGGTTTGATACTGTAGGGGTATGCATTCTGATTGAAACCTTTATTCAATGTGTGTGTGTGTTTGTGTGTATGCAGGAGTTCAGTTCCCACCTCTTGATTTTGTCTTCCTGTTTGTGGGTGTGTTGTTTGAGGAGCAGGTTTTCCTCATGGAGCCGTAGGAACCGGTCTTCCAGCTCCTCCCTGCTCACCCGTGAGATCGCCTGCCTTGCACGGGCATTCTGGGCCATCAGCGACTCTGCAAACAGAGCCAGGAAGTTACCGCCAGTTTAGAGACAAATATAAGGTAAAGTAAGGAGAAGTTCAAGCCATTACTAACCTGGTAATCCCACTCCAACCTGAGTGAGATTTAGGGTGATGTCTTTAACGGGCACATCGCCCGCCGTTTCGTCAGCAAATGCAGACATGGTTCAATCTGGAAATAAAAGGTTGAGAGACATTATAGTTACAACCCATCAATGAAAGACAACTAACAGGACACAGCCTCTTCTTGGACACAGCCTCCTAAAAGGGCATAGCCTGCCCCACTGTAATACTTAGTTGCTTTACTAGCTAAATGTGACTTGTTGTAGCTAGGAAGGACAGAGGAAAACCATGCAACTACTAGTTAGTCGCTATAATAACATAATATATAATATGCCATTTAGCAGACGCTTTTATCCAAAGCGACTTACAGTCATGCGTGCATACATTTTTGTGTATGGGTGGTCCCGGGGATCGAACCCACTACCTTGGCGTTACAAGCGCCGTGCTCTACCAGCTGAGCTACAGAGGACCACAGGCTATCACAGCCTAGAATAGGTATACATCTTATTCTTGCCCTACTAGCTTAATCAGTTTCTATCTTTCTAGGTCAAAAGACTGAGCTCACAAATAGTCTAGGTAGCTAAGTTTGGCTGCCTAAAGTAACGTTAGCTAGCTAGCGAAACAAGCAGCTCGAATCTGATGCCAAGTATCAATTAACTAGTTTTAGATTGACTAAGCAAGCTAACAAGCTAGCTATTGTTAAGTTTAAAAATATCTGTCCAAGTGTAAAACATGCATGCATTATTTTTACAGTTAACTATCAATTCCCTAAACATTTCTTACCGTTTCACATAAACATTTCCCTCCTCAGCGACAGTTGCTAGTAAACAACCTTCTTCCTGTTCCCATGTGCGCATGCGTTTGGAAAGAATCATTGGATATGTAGTTTCAGGAGTGGACGAGTAGCCTACAGTCAGAGAGGAAGAGGCGAGTGAGTATTCCAAAATCTTTGGTGCAGTCAGTATCTAAAAGTATTTGGTACAGTAGCCTACTTTGTAATGCTGATAGGCATTATTTGCACATTAATTCAGTTAATGTTCCTATGCATTTGTGTGTGTCTCTAATGTAGGCCTACAAGATCAGTAATGCTGTAGCCTAAGTGTTTAGGGAATTTTATAATGAAGTTAATGAATGTTATTATGTTTGATACTATCCTTTCTATGCCTTTTCATGGTTCGTTTGTTTCTCCTTTTCATCTGAAATGGAGCCATTTCTTTCCCTCTGACCATCCTCTGTGAATGGAAGCAGCAGGGCTACCACTCAGGTCCTGTTCTATTCATAATCCCAAAACTTTGCATGTAGGCCTATTTGTAATCTGAGATGGAAAAAAAGCCCTGGTTTACAGCCAGGGATTTGACAGGCAAACTGTCAGCTCTCTGCCTTTCATGAATTGGCAATGGGGCTAATTTAGAAGGCTGAGATGAGCCGGACTGGACAGAATGAGTTCACTCTGCATGCTCCTCTCTAGGTCTGCCACGCAGAGAGCACTGGGGCATGACAGTCTCCTCTCATGGCTGCCTCCTTAAATCCTAACCTTTGACCCCCCCCCCCCCCACTCCGCCCCCCCATCTCTCCTTTATCGGAGGGTTGGAGTGGGTCAGGGTGCTTTTTCGTTTTGGAGGTGGGTCTGCTGTGGAGCGAAGGCAAGGCATGTCTGTCTGTCTGTCTGTCTGTCTGTCTGTCTGTCTGTCAGGTCAGTGTTAGTTTGACTGTCAGAGCTGGCCTGTCGTTGAGTTCCATGATGCTTTTCAACCTTTTGTTCAACAGGCCGTACCCCCTCCACTGCAGAACAGAACTGTCAAGCACATGATCAGACGAGCATGTAAAGGGCTCTTTGTTCACGCCTCCTTTCCCCTCCCTCCCTCCCCCATTGTAATATAGGGAGATTTCCCCCCCAATGTGTCCTAGCTGTCTCTGGTTCTATTCAATTTATTCAGATGAGTGTCACTAGGGGCAGCGGGTCAGATCCTGTTGTCGGGTAGAAACCAGAGAGGTTAGTGAAACGAAACGAGTGAAAATAAAAAAGTGAACAAGGTCAGAAGAAAGGGTGAATACTTTACATACTTTATCTCTGTATTGCTAATTTATTGTTATGTTATCCCTGTCGGCATGCCACATCCATACTGTAGGCCTACATTCACATAAATCTATTATTTTATAGTTTATGGCAGGCTATACACCTATAAAAAATATATATATATATATATATATATATATATATATATATATATATATATACAGTGGGGGAAAAAAGTATTTAGTCAGCCACCAATTGTGCAAGTTCTCCCACTTAAAAAGATGAGAGAGGCCTGTAATTTTCATCATAGGTACACGTCAACTATGACAGACAAATTGAGATTTTTTTTCTCCAGAAAATCACATTGTAGGATTTTTTATGAATTTATTTGCAAATTATGGTGGAAAATAAGTATTTGGGCACCTACAAACAAGCAAGATTTCTGGCTCTCACAGACCTGTAACTTCTTCTTTAAGAGGCTCCTCTGTCCTCCACTCGTTACCTGTATTAATGGCACCTGTTTGAACTTGTTATCAGTATAAAAGACACCTGTCCACAACCTCAAACAGTCACACTCCAAACTCCACTATGGCCAAGACCAAAGAGCTGTCAAAGGACACCAGAAACAAAATTGTAGACCTGCACCAGGCTGGGAAGACTGAATCTGCAATAGGTAAGCAGCTTGGTTTGAAGAAATCAACTGTGGGAGCAATTATTATGAAATGGAAGACATACAAGACCACTCCGTGGGGTCAAAATGATCACAAGAACGGTGAGCAAAAATCCCAGAACCACATGGGGGGACCTAGTGAATGACCTGCAGAGAGCTGGGACCAAAGTAACAAAGCCTACCATCAGTAACACACTACGCCGCCAGGGACTCAAATCCTGCAGTGCCAGACGTGTCCCCCTGCTTAAGCCAGTACATGTCCAGGCCCGTCTGAAGTTTGCTAGAGTGCATTTGGATGATCCAGAAGAGGATTGGGAGAATGTCATATGGTCAGATGAAACCAAAATAAAACTTTTTGGTAAAAACTCAACTCGTTGTGTTTGGAGGACAAAGAATGCTGAGTTGCATCCAAAGAACACCATACCTACTGTGAAGCATGGGGGTGGAAACATCATGCTTTGGGGCTGTTTTTCTGCAAAGGGACCAGGACGACTGATCCGTGTAAAGGAAAGAATGAATGGGGCCATGTATCGTGAGATTTTGAGTGAAAACCTCCTTCCATCAGCAAGGGCATTGAAGATGAAACGTGGCTGGGTCTTTCAGCATGACAATGATCCCAAACACAGCGCCCGGGCAACGAAGGAGTGGCTTCATAAGAAGCATTTCAAGGTCCTGGAGTGGCCTAGCCAGTCTCCAGATCTCAACCCCATAGAAAATCTTTGGAGGGAGTTGAAAGTCTGTGTTGCCCAGCGACAGCCCCAAAACATCACTGCTCTAGAGGAGATATGCATGGAGGAATGGGCCAAAATGCCAGCAACAGTGTGTGAAAACCTTGTGAAGACTTACAGAAAACGTTTGACCTGTGTCATTGCCAACAAAGGGTATATAACAAAGTATTGAGAAACTTTTGTTATTGACCAAATACTTATTTTCCACCATAATTTGCAAATAAATTCATAAAAACTCCTACAATGTGATTTCCTGGATTTTTTTTCTCATTTTGTCTGTCATAGTTGACGTGTACCTATGATGAAAATTACAGGCCTCTCTCATCTTTTTAAGTGGGAGAACTTGCACAATTGGTGGCTGACTAAATACTTTTTTCCCCCACTGTATACACTAGTGTTCAAAAGTTTGGGGTCACTTAGAAATGTCCTTGTTTTCCATAAGAACATACATGAAATGAGTTGCTGGATACCACCACCAAAGCACTCCCAGACCATCACATTGCCTCCACCATGCTTGACAGATGGCATCCAGCATCTTTTCATTTGGTCTGCGTCTCACAAATGTTCTTCTTTGTGATCCGAACACCTCAAACTTCGATTTGTCTGTCCATAACACTTTTTTCCAATCTTCCTCTGTCCAGTGTCTGTGTTCTTTTGCCCATCTTCATCTTTTATTTTTATTGGGCAGTCTGAGATATGGCTTTTTCTTTGCAACTCTGCCTAGAAGGTCAGCATCCCGGAGTCGCCTCTTCACTGTTGACATTGAGACTGGTGTTTAGCGGGTATTATTTAATGATGCTGCCAGTTGAGGACCTGTGAGGCGTCTGTTTCTCAAACTAGACACACTAATGTATTTGTCCTCTTGCTCAGTTGTGCACCGGGGCCTCCCACTCCTCTTTCTATTCTGGTTAGAGCCAGTTTGCGCAGTTCTGTGAAGGGAGTAGTACACAGCGTTGTACGAGATCTTCAGTTTCTTGGCAATTTCTCACATGGAATAGCCTTCATTTCTCAGAACAAGAATAGACTGATGAGTTTCAGAAGAAAGTGATTTGTTTCTGGCCATTTTGAGCCTGTAATCGAACTCACAATTGCTGATGCTCCAGATACTCAACTAGTCTCAAGAAGGCCAGTTTTATTGCTTCTTTAATCAGCACAACAGTTTTCAGCTGTGCTAACATAATTGCAAAAGGGTTTTCTAATGATCAATTAGCCTTTTAAAATGATAAACTTGGATTAGCAAACACAACGTGCCATTGGAACTCAGGGCTGATGGTTGCTGATAATGGGCCTCTGTACGCCTATGTAGATATTCCATTAAAAATGAGCCGTTTCCAGCTACAATAGCCATTTACAACATGAACAATGTCTACACTGTATTTCTGATCAATTTGATGTTATTTTAATGGACGAAAAAATTGCTTTTCTTTCGAAAACAAGGACATTCCTAAGTGACCCCAAACTTTTGAACGGTAGTGTATATAATATCTATCTATCTATCTATCTATCTATCTATCTATCTATCTATCTATCTATCTATCTATCTATCTATCTATCTATCTATCTATCTATCTATCTATCTATCTATCTATCTATCTATCTATCTATCTATCTATCTATCTATCTATCTATCTATCTATCTATCTATCTATCTATCTATCTATCTATCTATCTATCTATCTATCAATCAATAATCATATTTTGTGCCTGGAGGAACAGGGTCAGAGAAGCAGACCAGACATAGCTAGATACAACAACATGGCTCTTGAAATAACTGGAAATGTAACTATAGGCTACAGTAACAGCAGGGAAGACAACTAGGCCTAGACACATCCCATGTGACAGTAGGTGGCACTTGGTTACCACTATCTGTGAGGCCATACTCCCTCCCTCACCCTTTTGGTGGCTTAGCCTTCTGTCCTGTTACTGTTCTGTTGTGTTTGTTTTCATGCAGGGCCATGGCAGCCTTATGTTACCATAGGTCATAATGATGAATATTCATTCACCTCTGCCACGCTACACCTGCTACACATGTTTCAAAGGTGTCTATGAGCGTGATGTTTGTAGGTAAGTTTTGGGTCACCGCTTCTACAACAGTCTAGTTTTAAATTGGTTTCATATTAACATAAACATATACACTTTAGTGTTATCACAGTGATTCATTTTTAGATAGCTTCAGTGGACTGGAGCGGAGAAGCTTCTGCAACCTAAGGAAGGTTAGCTTATTGATGTCTGGGTAGAATATTGACAGTATATTCTCGGGCTGAAGATAATGTAATTCAGTCATCTGCAGGTTGTCTAATGTCATTCAGTTATCTGCAGGTTGTTTAATGTCATGGAGTCGCCTCACTCACCTCGCATAAAAAGTAAAGTAAAAACAATACTTTGGTATCGTTTTGTGTGTTCTGTCATATGACGTGATCGACTTAG